TTTTTTATATTTAAAAATCTGTCTGACACTGAAAATCCGTTGTATTGTAAAATTCGTTATATCAAAATTCGTTGTAGAAAGAGTTGACTGTACTTTAAAATTAGTATAACAATATTTTATAAGATGATTTTAATAGCAAAATCTCAAGTATTGTGAAATTGTATTCAAGTATTACAAAAATTAGTTATATAAAAATAATTTTTATAATTAGCAAAAAATTTTAAAAATTATAAAATAAATTTAATATTATTTTATTAATTTGACTTAATATTTAAAAATAGAACAATTTATTATTAGTTAAAAATGTTTACTATAGCATAGCATTTTTTTAATTATCAATTACTCAAAATCAATTTTTTATTCTGTAAGGTGATTTAATAACTTAACCCTTATATGTCAAAAATTTAAAACATTTTATATATAATAAGTAATTCTATTTAATTAAAATATTCTTATAATTGCAAATTGCAATTATAATTATAAAAATTAACTAATAATTACAATCTTTGATAAAATTACATAATTTCAAATTTTTCATTTCAGAAGAAAATACAATTTTCAATAATAATATTCTGATAATTTCTACTGATTCATTTTTGATTTATACATAGTATTCTGAAAATTTAATATTTAAATTAGTATAAAATTAAATGACTATTAAATACATCATACTTTTCATATTTTTTTATTAAAAATTAACATCAAGATTACAGTTGACTCTAGATATAACGAACCTACTATTCTAAAAGATTTGATTCAAAATAAAGTAAGTTCGCTATATGATATTTATGTTTTATACTGAACTGTTTGGTATATAAAATTGATCAATAAAAATACAGATACGTGATCATTTCGTAATAAATTTAAAACTATTTATTATATTAAAAGTATTATAGTTATATACAGTACATTATTTCAAATCCATTACTCAACAATATTATTATAAAAGTAATTATGAATATCTAAATTTTTTACAATTAGTACCTTAACTCGCTTATACAATCTCTTTAAAACTTTCAATTCTTTGTTTACTTCACTAAACTCTGGTTCTTGCTCATATAAAAATCTTATCATTTTATCTGCAGCATTTTCTGCTTTTGTCAAACTAACTTTTTCTAATATAGGTATAGATTCATCTTTATTTGTCATGTCTCTTTTTCATTTAAAATAGCATTAATTAATTCACGATCCGTAAGTCCACCCTCTGGCATTTTATCCTCTAAATAAAGATATTTATGTGCATCGAGATCACTTCTTAGAAGCTGGGAAATTAACATAGCAAGCTCATTAATTTCTATATCAAAACTAAAAAAAATAGCTGTATTAATAAAATTTCACAATAAACAATACCTATATATGAATTATATAGTATACAATACCTATCAGAAATTACTGAATCATAATCATTAGAAATTTCATCAATTTCATTATTTAGTAAAAGAATACCTGTTTTTTCTAACAGTTTGATATTATTTGAAATGATACTATAGACCATGTTTCAGCTGCATTTTGTAAAGCATCATATATCATATAATCATTAAGTTTTTTTACCAAACCATCCTGCATATTATCATATGCGCTAATCTAATTTTAGATAAAAAAGTGTTTATAATGACACTTAGATAAATGAATAATGCTTGCGTCACATGGTTGAAGTTCAGTGGTAATATTTGGTAGGAGAAATTTTACTTCTACACTATCTAACTTTTCTTAGGTTTCATCCAAAATAAGGTGTACTAATGCATTATCAATTAAAAGGATGATCTTTCTATTTTTTTGTCTTATTATTTTATTAAGTTTAAGAAGGACATTGTTAAAAATACTAATTTGTATCCAAGCTTTTTTGTTCCAAAAATAATAAACTGAAAGGTTTTTGTAATTAATATTTTTCATGATACGAGGAGTTTTGTATCTATGAATAAATGTAAGAGACATCTTTTCTGTTCTGGTTGTATTTGCTGCACAAAATATTGTAATATGAGATTTTTCTTTTTATGTTCTGATAAAGAAGCACGTGCTAAAACTTTAGAAGGTTCTATTTTCTATAAAAGACCCATTTCATCATTATTTCAAATATTCTCTGAACTATAAGATTCAAGAAGCTGCTGTAAAGCAAAGCGGTCATTTTCTATTGATTTAGTAGAAGATGCACTTATAACTTCACCTTGCTTCTTGAACTGGTATAAACTATGATGATTTTTAAAGCCAGTTAACCACCCATCTGAATAACAAAAATCTTCTATTGAAAACTGGTTGGCAAAGTAGTTTGCCTTTATTTTTAAAATATTACCATTAATATTCTACTTTGTATTAAATGCATTATCAACTCAAAGGATGAGTGCATCTTTAAGTTGAGGCCACTTTGGATCACGAAATTTTTCAACACTTTCTTGACTTTTTAAAATTGCAAGCCAACGCTCTTTCTCTTTCAAAATGTCAGTAATTGTTAACTTTCTAATATGGTATTGTTATGCAAGACTAATATTAGAAATATTTGGGTTATTTCACAAATTTCACGTTTTTATGTGACAGAAAGAATAACTCTCTTTCTTAATATATCAGAGTTTTTAAAACTTCTAATATAAAGATTATCACGTCAGATTATTCACGGTTAACATAATTTATAGTGTGTTAGTATAACATTTTTAATTTTATTGTCAATTATACAATCTCATATGCTAAATTTTATATCACGTGATTGTTCAGTTTATTAAATATATAGCTTAATATACCTGTTCGGTTAAGGTAAGTTCAGATGTGATATATAATGTTTTATTATATGAATTCGTTATATTCAACCTGATTAATTATAAAATAATCAGTTCTGTAATACATGGTTTAGTATAACAAATTTTTGGTATGAACAGGTTCATTATATCCAGAGTCGACTATATTCTTTAATAAATATGAAATACTTAGAACTAAAGATGGTCCCCATAATTATTTTCAAATTTCAATTGAGTTGCAACTTAATTATGCCATAAGGAAATTTAATTGCGCCACAAGTTGCAACTCAATTGCGCCATTTTTTTTAATTGCGGTGATCATCTTTACTTAGAACTATATTAAAATAATAAATCAATTAATAAAATAATAATTAAAAAATTGTTAAAATTATTATTTTTAAACTTACTAATTAGACTAGTTTTGATTATCAATTCTACTTGTATTTAATATTTATTATTAATATCAGTTTCTTTATCTGAATCTTGCTTAAATTTGAAAAATTAGAAACTTCACTTAATACTTTTCTAATTATTTCTAAAATTCAACTATATTATTATCAATTTCAATTTTAATATTTATAGGTAAAAATAACATTTTTAATCATTATTATTTAATTCAATAAGAACTATCAACTGCAATATATTAATTAATAAGCTATCTGACATCAATATATTTAAATATTTAGCAAGTTCATAAGTAAGTTAATGTAATTATTTAAAACTTAAATATATCTAAATCATTAGGTCATTTTTTTAAATTCAAAATTATGTCAATTATCAAATTTTTTTCATTATAATCAAAAATATATCCTAATATGTAAAAAAAAAAAATTTTAGATAATTAAATATAATAAATAAATTTATAAAATACTTTACCTTCTTGAGTAGATTTTTTATTAAATGATATATTAAAACTTTAAATAGTGAAAAATTTTACTTGTCATTTATAATATTTTTATAAATTAAAATCTATATGAATTTGTGATATTATTTCAAATACATATCTATAAGCTTTAGAATCATGTATTTAAAAAATTCAGAATAATATACATGAAATAATTTAATAAAAAATCTATAGATTCTAATAGTGAATTAAAAATAAAAAAACTTTGTATTATGATAAAATTTTCTCAAATAAATATAAAATGCAAATACTAATATAACATATATTCTATATAATATAAAATTAATTATTAGTGTTAATTTAAAATTTCAAAAGTAAATAAAATAAAATTATAATGTAATTATTTACTATACAAAGGTTTAAAGATTAAATTTAAAAGTTTTTATAAATTGGGATGTTTTGAAAGAGAATTAAATATAAATTATTAAGAAAAAATTTAGAACTAACAAATTAAAATTAATAACTAAATTAATAGCTATTTCAGATAAACAATAATAGTTATATAAATAGTTAAACTATAAAATAATACTTTAAATAGAAAGTTAATTAAATATAAATGTTCTAATACTAGTAAAGAATGTCAAAATCCTGAAATTTATTCTTTATAATAGCAAAAAAAATAATGAATAATAATTAAATATTAAAAATAGTTTTATATTTTAATTAAATATTAAATAAAAAAGTTACTTTTTAATAAATTTATATAAAATATTATTTTAATTATTTAGTAAATTATAATGATTTTATTTTATAAAATAAAAAATATTATATAAAAATTTATTGGATACAAATATTAATTTTTTTAATTAAAAAAATAATAATTGATTTTATAATTTTAAAATTTAAATTATATAAATAATTAAATTAAAAAAAATAATCAATTTGAAATATTACATTTTATCTTAATTTTAAATTTAAGCAATAACTACTATATTTTTTATTAAGATAATAGTTAACTTATGTATTACATTCTTAGTTTTAAATTTGTATCAATTTTAAATTAGAATAATAGTTAATTTGGAATATTACATTTTTAATTTCTAATTTGTTTTAATTTTAAATTAAGATAATAATCAATTTAAAATATTGTATATCTCAATTTTCAATTTATTTTAATTTTAAATTAGAATAGCAAAATCACAATACCTAAATTTGAAATTTCAAGGTAGATTATCTAAAATTAAAATTTGTATTTAAAATAGATTATTAACTTGAAGTATAATATATTATATTGATTTATATTATAAAAACTTTTATAAAAAATTTAAATAAATAGTAAAAACTGACAAATTTTATGAATATTATTTATATTTATTTTATTTAATTAAAAAATTACAATTAGTAACTAAATTAAATATTTATAATTTAAACATTCTATTATATTAACTTTTAAAATTATAGGTTATTATCAAATTGAAAAGTTAAATTACAGAGGGTGATCACAGGTACTCGAATGATAAATATTTTTTGTTTATTCACTTTATTACATGTTTACATATATTTCTAATTTAAGCATTTGTTTAAGATAAAAATGGCACCTCAATTAGTTGCAACAGGTGACAAATAAACATCACAATGTTGCAACAAATTGCAATATTATTAAAATTTAAGTTGCAATAGGTGATAAATAAGCGTCACAATGTTGCAATGCCATCTTTAGTTTAGGATATAAATGGATGTTAATCACAATAATAACAAATAATTTTCTTTCAAATAAAAATGGTTAAAATAAAAAAATTGAATGCTAAATAATATGGGGTAATTCTTTACAGTCACAAATGAGGTAATTCATATCAAAAAATTGCTGACATCATTTAATGTGATAAAATAATTGTCTATAATGTGATAAAACATTTTAAAGAAACTGGTTCTGCAATACTGAAAAAATGTTATGACTTAAAGCTACTTTTTAATTCAAATGTATAATCTTTACTCAAAAAGATTATTACACAAAATTCAAAGTATTGTCACCTTATCACGCAAAAAATTCAAGAATTATGGACTAAAAAAAAGAAAGTTTTAACTGTTACAATTCGTCAGACTCTTAAAAAAGTCAGTTTATGTTTATGTGTTATTCATTTTAAACCATTAATTTCTGAAAATAATAAAGAAAAAAGATTGGCTTAAGCATTAAAACGTGAAAATTAAATAATTGCAAAATGAAAAAAATTTGTATGATCTGATGAATTAATATTTAGCTAATTTTTACAAGATCGTAGCTTATGTGTATGTCGTATACCAGAAGAAGAATTTAACCCTTCTTATTTAACTGCTACAGTAAAACATAGTTCTAGTCAAATATTTTGAGAATAGTTTTCGTGGTATGGGCTAAGACCTCTTATTTCTCTTTGTGAATCTGTAACAAGATATTAAATTTACAAGATTAATTAAAAGACTATATTGCCATTCCTTTCCAAAAAAACACTCTAATTCACTAAGATTTTTTAGCCTACGCAACTTTACGTTTCTCTTAACGATTATCTAAAGGTTTTCAATAAAGTTTAGGTTTGGACTATTGAAGGGCCAATTCATAACCTCTAGAACTTTTTCAACAAGAAAATCCTTAATAACAATACTAGTATGCTTAGGATCATTGACTTGCTATAACCGCTAATTATTCTTTAACATACTTTGCATTTCTGGGATATGTTTGTTTAATATCTCTGTATAGAATTTTCTATTCATTATACGCCTAAAACAAAAAAGACTGGTAGTACCCTTTATACAAAAACTACCCTAGGCAAAGATTTTACTACAGTCCTTTAGCATTTGACGAATTGGCCTTGCATTTTTATACCAATGCTTTATTGTATTACAGAATAATTTGAAAGCCATTTCATCACTAAATAGAGTTATTTTTCAATCATCATCCTTATGTTTTTCAGTCCATTCAACTTGTTTTTGTTATGGGCTTCAGTTAGCATTAGTGTGCGAAAAAGAAGTGTATTTCAATATCTAAGTTCAGCTAAATGTCTTGAAACTTTTGAGCGAGAGACTTTTACTCCTATATTTTCTAATTTTATAGCAATAGATCCAGCAGAAATTGAAGGTTCTTTTTAAATAAACTGCCCAATTGCTCAAGATGCATATGGGGTTATTTTTTTAATATGACTGCTATCATTTTTACGCTTAATATCTCTATTTTTCTTTAATTTTTTAAGGTTATTATATATTATCCTAAGTGAAATCTTTGTTCTTGAGTGTATTTTGATGGTATTGCATATTTTTTGCTCACATAAATATAAAATTACTTTTTGTTGTGTTTCTTTCTTTGAAAAAGTCATTTTAATGCTTAATAAATTGAAATTTTTACAAGTACTTGAAAAAAGTTTTACTTGAAGATAATAGTACAATTATGGAGCTTCATTTGCATATTTATTTGTGTACGTGCAACCAAAATTGTGTTAGTTACACTTAATAATCAATTTTCAAAAAAATTGCCATTTTTTTTGCACATCACTGTATATTTTTTAACTATCAAAATCATTGTTTTAACTATAATAAATTTGTAAAAATGATTAAAATAAAAAAATAATACAATTATTTATATATTATTAAGCTTTATAAAATATTAGATCTTTTATGTAAGAGATACTCTGCAAAAATTACTTTTTAGGAAAAATATAATATTTATTATATGTTTTATCTTTTTAAATTATTTGGATAAAAAGTAATCAGATATTTATATTAATAATAAGATAAACGAAGATTTTATAAATTATTAGACTTAAATTTAAATAAAAATTAAATAACTATTTATTTTAAATATTAAAAATTAATAAAAATTATTAAAGTAAAGCTAAAAAAAAAAAAATTATAATAGATAAGTAGATAGAATTATAAAATTGAAAATAAAAAATTATTAATCTAGATTATATTTTAAGATAAATATTTATCATTAAAAATTAAATTTATTATATAATAAAAAAATTATTAGAATTATTATTTAGATCATACTTATTAATTTTTTCTTTATTATCATTAAAATATTTTGTATTAATAGATAAATTATTTACTATATTAAATTATACCTTATATAATATAAGTAGATCTGAAATTTTTCTTTAGGTTATAGTTTTAAGAAAAATCAAATTTTAATTAATACTAAAGAATAATTTAATTTAAATGAAAAATTATAAAAATTCACATATATAATTATTTATATAATATATTTATTTTTTTAAAAAGTTCAAAAAAATAAATGAAGTAATTTTAGAGTTTTTTGATTTTTAAATATATAATTATGGCTTTGAAAATTTTTATGTAATAGTTATTTAATAGGTTTATAAGAATTATAAGAAAAGGTCTAAGTTATTAATAAAATAAATTTGAGAAGTAGTAAAAAATAATAGTACATTCAACTCTTATTATAATAAACTATATATTCTAGATTTTAACTTTGTTATAAGGTTATAGTGAAGATTTAAAAGATTTTATTGGCTAATTTGCTATATATAACAAGAGTATTTTTATTATATTTGTTTAAAAAATTCAAAAAAATTTGTTATATTAAGAGTTCACTATATCAAGAGTTAATTATACTTATAATAGAAAGAGAATTTTAAATATTATTTTTCATAGTAAAATTTATTATTTTATTAATAAAAATTAATTGAATTTAATTATCAAATTGATTAATTTTTATATGAAAAATAAGTATAGTATTTATTTTATTACTACTTAAGTAAAAGAAAAGAGATATTAATTATATAGATAATTACTTAGTATAATATATTTACTTACTTCTAAATATTATATCAATAAGACTATATAGTTATTAGAAATTTATATTAGATTGATATATTAAAATGATTACAAAATCTTAAATATTATTGTATTAATAAAAAAAATAACTTTAAAAATCTTATTAAAATTTTAGAATATGTGAACTATAAGACTAAAATAATGTATATATGATTCATAAATTAAAATTCATATATAAAATTTGAGAAAAAAAATCTTACCATAAATTTTTTAAATTTAATAAGAATTGTAAGTTTATGGTTAAATTTTTTAAATTAGTTAGAAGTTGTCAAATTTATAATAGAAATTTTATGTTTAAATAACCAATAAAAGTATTAATAATTTTAAATACAGTAATATTTATTCTGCTTATTACATTAATTTGATATTTATTATAAATTATTAATAAAATAATTATATCTGTTAAAATATAATTTATTTATCAAAATATAATTTAATTAGTAATTCATCAATTTGTATTGAAGTATATTTTTATTATAAAGAATAATACTTATATTTTTTATTTTAATAATGATTGCATTTTATAAGTTAATCATACATTTTATTTTTAGTATTATTTTATTACTTTATTTATTTCAAAAGTTATTATAAGATAAATTTTTTATTATAAAGAGTTTATATTTTTAATAGTAATTGTAAAAGATATCTTAAAAAAAAGCATATTTTTAATAATAAAAATATTTTATTAAAAATAGTATGATAATTATTATAGATTAAAAATAAATCTTTTAATAATAGTTAAAATTCTAATAACTTATATTAAAATTATAATAAGATACATAATAAACATTTTAAAAGCTAAAACATATTAAAAATATAGTAAAGAATATGATAAAACAATTTTGAAACAATTTTGGTAAATATCTATTAATAATTATTTGCAATTTTTAAATATATTACCAATAAAAATTTACCTTTTTTGATAGAGAAAAAAAACTAAAATCAGCTATTTATTTTAATATTTATATTTTATAAATTAATTTATTATATATTTAACTAAAAATCTTTTATATTTTATAAAAAATTCAATGGTTAAGGGATCATAAAAAGCTGATATTATTGCTTATTGAAAGAAATTTCCTAAAAAAATGTTGTTATTTTATATATACTGTATATAATTTCAAAAATTAATGTTAAAATGAGGTATTGGTTTATATTATTAAATAAAATTTTAAGAAAAAATTTTTTTTCGAAATACGCGTTTTTTTTAAAAAGTAAAAGCGAACGTTCTTTTGACGCCGAACCGCAGCTTTAGTCATAAAGACATCATGCCGCAATATACACGTGATTCACGTGAATAATATGTTAATGGATAAATAATAAAAGAGGACACAACATATTGCCATTATGACCTAAATGCGGGGGTAAATGCATAAGTTTTTCATTATATAGATCAAATAAAGACACATGCAATTTAATTTGTGTATTTTGTGTCATCTTTGGTGTAAATTAACGGTCAAGGAGGATCTAATTTTAATTAAGATTAAGTTATAAAAAATTTATTAATGAAAACTTTATTATTTCAAGAAGTTCATTGTTATCAAAGGGAGTTTGACCATAAAAAGGCTGATTGTGTGGCATCTTAGTGAAGGTGAAACCACGCAATAGCAAATGACGAATGAATAAACACCCGTTTTCCCCTTACTACGTTATCACGATATTAACGCAATTAACGTATCACAACTCCTTCATTTAGTAATAAAATTAAAATAAAAAAAGGATAGAGAGAAAAGGTATGTTTGAAATTTTTATTTCAAATTACATCTTTGCACATAGTCAAACATGATTTTGCATGTTATCTTTGTTAAACAAAGACAAATAATCTAAGAATTTGTTTGGATAAAAAAAAAAAAATAAATAAATGAAAAAAAAGGAAATTTTCACGATCCGTTGTGAATTTTTCTCATATTTGGCATCGGAGTATTATTTATTATTTATTATTTAATGAGCTCGGTTTAGTAATGATAAATGTAGTGAGATATTGAAGGAAATAAGGTTCCGAGAAATAGCTTGATTTGAACAAAATCTTGTGATCGATGACACCATCAGATTAATTTATGTAATCCATTTAATCCATTTGATAATGGCGTATTGGTAGAAAGTGGGCCTCTTCTCATGGCAGGTTTTAGATAGAGTGATCAAACTTTATTGAAGAATAACGTCGGTAAACAAAAAAAAAAAAAATAATTGCACAAATCATATGAATATTTTTTTCTGTTCGATAATTTAGGTACTTTTGTATCGAAAATCGGTAAATAAAAAAGTAGTACTTCCGTTATTGCCATCAACAATGCAAAATTCATTTACTGTATGTGAATTAAAAAGTTTGATTAAAGGAAATTTTAATAATAATCACATAGCGTGATATATAAAACAAACAAAAACGCCTATTTTAACATCCATTGTATTACAACTACCTGATTTGGCTTCATTGTTTCTGGAACTGTTTTGCCCTTTATCCGAAAATCGGTGCTATTGTGTATATGTAATGTGAAAATTTCCATTGTTTTAGGAAACTTGTAAAACTCTGCTTCCCCTATTTTTTATTTATTTTACATTTACAATGATTTTCTAAGGGGTTAAATTTTTGGAATTTTTAATTTTCAACGAAGGCTCGATGGTTCCTATCACGACAACAAACATGCATGATAACTTTTTGTACTTTCTGGAAAATTCGACCTTCGCATTCAAACCGAGGAATTCTTCAAATTTAGTTAGGATCGGTCGTTTCTTGGGATTCTTTTAGTGTAATAAGGGGAAATTTATTTATATGTATTCAATCTTTTTAAAGCGACCATGCGTTCAAGGCCGCGCGTGTAAATCAAAGCGTCTGTAAAGTTGATCAAAATAAATGAAAAAAAAAAAATCAACCGTGGATTGACGCGTTTCATTCCTTTTGGTATGTGGGGTGATGTCAATTTTCATGAATAATAAATAATAAAGGTGCTGAATTTCGCACGTTATGCAAGTACAATCTGATTTCTAAATTAACAGCCTTTTTTTTTTGCATTTGATAATCTTTTTTTTTGTCACTTTCCTAAATAATATATATTATAAGCCGAAAAGAAAGAAAAATCGTAAAAGAAACTAGTTATCTGATCGTCTCGGGAATTTCCGAAGCTTGTAATCTTTAATGGGAATCATTGCGACGCAGCAAATCCTTTACGCTGGTTGTTGACCTTGTCTTTCTTTCGTTTCGTGGAATTTTAAATTTTTAAGGTTATTGTTTTATCATCCGAATGGCATATCAAAAGAGGAGAAACTGTCGGGAAAAAATTTTTTCGGACCCGAGATAATGTTATAATGTGGCGCAGTTTACTTATTGATTACCTATAAGAAACGCGTCAAAACTCCATTTTTTAATTTGTAAATCATTTGGAAAATTCTTATTGAAAACTCTGTAATATTTCTAAAAGAATTTGAGGTTTTATTATTTTCAATCTTTTTTTTTTTTGAAATTTTGAAATTTTGTAAAGAATTTTTTTTTTTTTTTTTTTTTTTTTTTTTTTTTATAAACAAATTAAAGAAAACGAATATTATTTTTTGAAATATGATACAAGAAAAATATAAAAAAAAACGATTTTTTTTTTTGTTCCGGCAAAAAAAACCTCCGAAAATGAGTAGTAACTAACTAAAATCACGAAAAAAAAAGTACATATGTACATAATTAATTTTTTTTTTTTTTTTTACATATATAAACAGAGAAAATAAAAAAAAAATATATAAGAGAAAATTTTCTAATTTAAATGTTCGATATCGTTAATTATTAGTCTAAAGATTATTATTCGAATTGTAAGTCTAAAATTATTCTAGATTTAATTAATTAATAAATTATGCTTGTGTTTTTACTGTCTCAGCGTATGCGCTTCGTCTTCCTTCTAATGCCGCTAAAGCGTCTTTTACGCCGCCTTGTTTGGAATGGCCTTTTGGTACACTACCTCGCCTCTCGCCATGATACTCCTCCTTAACTTTCTTTGTTGGTTTTGTTGGTGAATTTTTTGCTGAACTTGAATGTGTTTGACTCTTTGATAAACGATCAAATACGTTATCGCCTGTCGGTGTTTCTGACCTTGTATGTGTATGATGTGCTAATGATGCTCGTTGTTCACTGGTCATGCTAGTCACACTTTCTGCATCACTGTCGTGTCCATTTGAACTTTGACGCATATGATATGCTGCTGTAATATCTTTGGAACCTCGTCTCGCCATACTGCTGTGCGATCTTCGCTTATCAGCGCTGCTAAAGTATCCACTATCTCGTGGTCCATCGTTTCCTGATTCTGCATAGAAGCCCATGCTTGTTGAACTATTTTGACGACTATGTAAGATGGAGGACTGAAGTGATCCCCGTCGTGAATTTGATGCTAGACCCCCAGATCTCGTTCTTTCTAAGGGTAAAGGCACACGTGGGTGCTCATGGCTACTACCAACATCCATTGAAACTGTGGTTGTAACATTTGATGGAACGTTCTCATCTTTTGGTGTTGATGGATTTGAAGAACTATGGGAAGAGCTATTGGTTGGTCTTTTTAATCTTCGCCCATTTGAACTTCTTCTCTTTACATTATTGCTACTACCGGAATTGCTGCCGTTAGATTCACTAGAGTCTTTTCTCTTTGTGGCTGAAGATGAGACGTTTGGAGCCTCATTGGATTCAACTACACCCTTTTCACGAGGTTGAAGATTTAACCATCCGGAGGGGATTGGTGGTCTCGAAAAACTTGTCCTATTGCCGGAATTCATTGGACTCCCGGATAAAGGTGAAGCATTTACAGGTGAAGAGAAGAAAGCTGCGTCATCACTTTCAAATAGATATGAGTTGCGTCTTGATCCAGGAGTTCCAACAAGGCTATTCCTGCGTGATACCGCGGCTTCTACTTGCGCCAAAGCTTGATCATAGATACGATCAAATAAGGATATGGTGTTTGAAGCGTCATTTTCGATATCATCCATTTGCAATTCTTTCTTTTCGGAAGTTATTGGGCTTGGTGCTCTTTCACCACGTCGAAGAGCTTCTTCGAGTCCTTTGTTTTTCTTTTCATATTCAACCGTTGTAAGCACTGCAGCTCTTCGCATGGCCAATAATGTCTTTCTCAAATCGTTGATTTGTTTATCTTGTTGAGCGAGTGTCATTTGACGTGACCAATCCCCAGTTCGAAGGTCAACAATGTCTTTAAAGAATGATTCCAATACTGCTTGAGTTTCGTATGAATCCAAACTTCGCAAAATGTTAACGGCAGTGTCATATGAAGTTTCTGGTGTGGCATTTTCTGGTAAGGAAAAGGAGAGTTTCTTTTCTGTTTTACCGATCTTGCTATTCTTTCGTGGTTTTTCGGCAGCATCTTTGCTGGTTTCACCATCAGCTTTGTGATTTGCATTTGCTTCTTGTTCCGCGGCAACACCTCTAGCAGCTTCTGATTGTAAACCTCGAATCCTAGCATTAATGTAAGTCATCTCTGAATCGATCATTTCAATCTTGTCATCCAAAGCTTGTGCATCACCATCAAGTTCATTTCCACATTCGCTAATGATGATTCTTTCACGCTCTTCAAGAAGTTCTTTCTTTTCCTCTTGTAATTTTTCGCGCTTAACGATCAACTCATCCATCATTGCTAATGTTTGACGACCACTAATGTATTTGAATATGGCCTCGTCAAGAAGTCTCTTCTTATCGTAACCACTACCGAATACTTCATCGTGGATAGCATTAATGTCGTCAGAGGTTCGTCTTGACTCTTTGCCATCATCATTTTCAGCTGCCACTTGGTTTCGTCTATGATTACGGAAAACTTTGGAGATTGCTTTGGGAGTTGACGTTCGTTTGAGCAATGTCGTGACTGATTTGAGTTTTCCAGCCGTTTGCAACATTTCTTTTTGTCTCTTTTCGAGCATTATCTTTTGCATTTCACTGGTTCTTTCAAGACGTTTCTTTTGTTCTTGGGCAGCCTTTTCTTTACGACGAAGGGTTTGGATTTCACGTTGATTACGTTCAGTCATTTCACGAACACGTTCGGCTTCATCCTTCATGCGTTTCATCATACGCATCTTTTCAGCTTTAAGTTGTTCGATTTGAGCGCGCATACTCTTAAGCATTGTTTCGTTTTGATTTTTCGAGGTATTGTTGGATTGGGTAGCTTCATTGTATTTACGACGAAGTTCACCGATTTCTTGAATGAGACGTTTCATCTTGTGTTCGTAACGAGCTTTAAGTTCGGCAAGGATTGAACCCTTGTCACGAGTGCTAACACCAGAGCCAGCATTTTGAGCACGCTTGACAGCAACATCTCTTTCACGCTGCAAGTTGATCAAATTTTCTTGCATGTTTGCCAACCTTTGTTCGTATTGGGCTCTCATGTAAGTAAATTCTTGTTCAGCACGTTCCAATTGTGTGACGAGTTGTTCCTTGACGGCAATATCAGCTTGAATTTGATGCAACATACGTGTGAGTGCGATGGCATTTTGTTGTTGAGATGAACAACCAGTGCTGTTCTGTGAAGATTTGGTCGAACCAGGAGAAATCGGTTGATCGGAGAAACTAACAGAACGGCTAGAGTTTGAGGTGCGGCGAGTAGCGGTAGCTGTTGGTGGTGTTGTGTTTTCTTGCCATGCAGGAACTTCAATTGTTTGAATTTCACTGAAAGATACACTGCTTGACCGTCTCTTCTCCTTGGCGTTATTTGGCATCATTTGGTCGATGTAACTTTCGCTCTTGGTAGATGAAGGCATCTTGACTAGTTGACTCAAAAGAGGATCGTCATGTAAGGAGCCTCCATTCTTGATAAACAAGAGACCCTGCTTGATTTGTTCCTTGGCTTTTTCGAGCTTCTCTCTGGTCTTGCTGCGTCTTCTCAATTTTCGGGTGAATTTGAATTGACCTTCACCATCCCAATTTTCACCATCAGGTCTTGCAGTTTCATCATATTCATCAACGTTTTCTTCATCTTCCTCCAATATGTCATCTTCATAATGAGAAAATAAGTTTTTGGCATCTTCCAAGTTTAAGGGTTTAATCGGTTGAAGTTGAAAGGAGGATGAGGGACCATCAATTGGGACAGCTGAAGTTCCATCGGAAACCGGGAAATGACTATCAGCTCTTGGCTTGCTTTTCCTTGATGATGAACGTCTCTTTTTCTTTTTACCCTTCTTTTCTCCATCACTCTCATTATTATTATTATTATTATTTTCGTTATTAATGTTAGGATTGTTTTCATCAGAAGGATAGTGAGGGTCGGAGAAGGAGATACGATGACTCTTATCCCTTCCAGAGCTTTTTGCCAAAGAAGATTTACGTGGATTGTGAGTAGTCGATTGAGCAGCTTGAAGATCTGCGATCTGATTTTTAAGGTCGAGAATCTCAGTTTCATAAGATTGAACGATATGATGGGTTTTCATCTTGTGTTCACGATCGGCGTCCGAAAGGTCTTGACCATTAAAACTTTTATCCATTAAAAGCGTGTTCCTTTCGGTTTTGACCATGAGGAGTTCTTGTTCGGTAGATTGAAGTTTCATTTTGGCCATTCCCAATTCTCCTTTAAGATTGTTAATCTCTACTTCATATTTGTGAGCGGTTTCTTCATTACAACCACCAGAGATCAAAGTTTGGATTTCCATCTTTAATCGACTGATTTGCCCACGGAGCTGATTAATTTCTACAGAGTTGCCACCAAAACTCTCATTAACGCTGACCTTATTTTTAATATTACGAGCGCGATTGGCATATTTAAGTGTGTTTAAGGTTTCCATGAAATTTGAGTCTGCGGGTGACACACAAGCCAACATCAGCGTTTGACTGTTACCACCGAGCGAATCTTGTAATAAACGCGTTAACTTTGAATCTCTGTATGGGATATGTGTCACCTTTCGTGATTCATCACCAAGCGCACTGATTACATTACCAAGGGCCAATAGACCCCCATTAATCGCTATTCCTTCCTTTGCTCTGTCGCCTATTGCATTGGTTCTCTTTAACTATGTGTATGATGTGCAAGGTTGATTTTTGATTTTTTTTTTTTTGAATGAATGAATGATAAACGAATTGATTAGGTTTGATTGTGTGAAATAAAGCATATATTTGAATCGAGGAACTGAAGTTTGAGACGTTACCCTTTCTGAACCAGCCAAATCTACAAAGTGGAATTTGGAAATGACTTTGGATGTTAATGATTTTTGTTTGCTCTTTCTTTTTGAAGCGGATGAAGTTTCAGCGGGAGGAGCATCATTTTCTTTGTTTTCCTCTAGGTTTTCAATCTTTGTTTGTTTCAGTATTACGGAAAAGATGGCGTGTGATCGTGAAGACACCATGTTCATGTCTGTTGAAGCGACGGTTCGACATAACGAACCTTTTTGTAATTGACTAAAAAAGGGGGGAGAGAATGAAGACGGGTTAGAATTTATAAAAAAAAAATAATAATAAATAAATAAATACATGAACACATATGATGCATACCCTAAGAGTTCTTCCGGGGATGAAACTGAGACCTCTTTCACACCGGCCCAATATATTTGACCATTTGCGTCTTCTCTTATCATCAAATCGCTCTTTCCTTTTTTATGATTTTCTCTGTTTTGTGGGTTTAATAAATCTATTAAGTCTTCATTATATAATTCTAGGAAAGATACGAGAACTTCGAATTCATAAGAAGGGTTATTTGCTTTTCGTTCGTTTAGATCATCAAATAATCTATATATGGCACGTGGGACGATCCCTGAAAAGTAAAAGCAATGACGTCATCGGTTAGATGTCGATCATTATTTTGTTATTGTTGTATTTGCAAGGGTAATTATTAAATTACCTTGATGTTCGGGAGGTATGTCTGACCCGTCTAAAGCGGTACCCATGCTATATGTTTTTCCACTACCGGTTTGACTATAAAAGTAAAAAAGGGAAATTAATAGAACGTTTTAAAACGTTTACAAGTTAAACATAAAGATTGTTAATTACATACCCATATGCAAGAATGGTAACATTATATCTAAAAATAATAAAAATAATGAAAATAATTGTCAACAATGGTTTTATTATTTAATGTTTTGAAAGAAAATGATGTCATCAATAACATAAGCTCAATTTTGATATGTTGTGACACGTCGGAATATTAACCGAATTTTTTTTTGCGTGACGTAACCTTAAATGTTGAACAAACTTACCCTTCGACTAATTTATCAAGTAATGGGCGTGCACAGTCTTGGAAGACGTCTTCTTGCTCTGTATCTGATGGGAATACATAATCGAATGTGAAAGAACGGTCGGTTCCAATGAGAATTTGTGGTGCGTCTGGTATTATCGTTAAACATTCGCTGCAATTTTGTAAAGTCTCTTTGCTATTGAGTGGTCTGACTCTTAAAGCGACACTATAAGAAAGTAGAGATTCAAGATGAGCGCGAGGACAAAACGTAAGAGACGAAAGTTAAGAAGTAATTAGAGACGAATATAAGGGAGGGGAAAATGGGAAAGAGGGAAGAAAACTCGGAGTTCATTAGGACATTTCTTTGATTTTACTTACCGTACTGAAGTTGAGGCCATGTTTGTTATGTATGTATATTGTAGAGGAAAGAATAATTCGTTGGATATGAAGGAAAAGGTTTGTAAGAGCAGAAAAAATAAAATTATACAAAAAAGAATTTTGAAGGATTTTATGGTTTGTGGTATACAAGAAGGTAAAGCGAAAGATATATTATGTACAAAAAGAAAAGAAAAAAAAATTTATTTTTCTTTTAAATAATGTTTTTATAAGGGTGGTTTCTTTTTCTTTTTTTTTTTTTTTTTTAAATGAAAAAGAAAATGTAAAAAAAAGGGGATTTCAAGATGTATTTATAAATTATTTGTGTTTCTAAAAAAAAGTATTTCGATAAAAAAAACGAAAAAAAAAAGTTATTTGTACTGTAAAATTTTTTTTTTTTGAGGTGATATATTTTTTTCTGTGTAATTGTGATTTTTACACCGTTTTTTTTTTTTTTCGATTATTATATATTAAAATATATTAAAAAAAAGTAGATAATAGAGAGAATAAATAAAATAAAATTCGAATTCTTGAGTTTATTTTTATTTTATTTTTATTTTTATTTTTTTTTTTTGGTGATGGCAAGAATTCTTTTCTATCAATGTGGAGAAGAGTAGGAGAAAAATTTAGAGCCTTCAAGTCTCTCTTTTTATATATTTTTTTGTCGAGATTTTTTTTTTTTTTTCATTTTTTTTTTTTTATTTATTTATTTATTAATTGATATTTTATACATATAAAATAATATATAAATGGTACTTTAATGTACTCTAACTAAACCTCACATCCATCTTTTTCACTCCCCCCGATATTAATCATCATTTTTGTGGAACACCCACTAATCACTTCTTTTCTTATATAAATAAATTAATTATCTAACCTAGTTTTTTTTTTTTTATATAAACGTTATTTAATTATACATCTAATTATTTATATTACTTTTTTTAAAAAATTTAAATTCAAAATCCTCTGAATAAATATATACCTATTTCTATTTTAAATTCGATTACGCGTAATACGGCGCATCATTTAACGTTAATAAAAAAAAAAAAAAGAACCTGCTTGCAATAATTCGGATGCTCTTTTTTTTTTATTTTTTTTTTAATTGTTGGCAATTCTCACCTTATGCCATACATAACTTAATGGTTTATTTATGTGAAAGATATGCAATATTAAGAAGACCAAATTCAACAACCAAAAAAAAAAAAAGAGAAACAGGTTTTTTTTCGTGTTTTCACCTTAAGAAGACAAGTGTGACATAAAAAAAAGAGATGGTTATCTTTATTATAATAATTATAACAATGTGATGTATGTTTCTTGTAGAAAAACATCTAATTAAAAAAATGTACATTTATGCCTAAATGCTTGATGACTAAAAAAAAAAATTGTTCCCCCTCGCCTCCAAATTATAAGGTAATAATAAGTATGTATAAATATTTTGAAAGTATTTTAATATTGACCGAGAAAATTTGTAATTGAACCGAAAATGTGTTCCGATTGACTAACTTTACTAATTTAAAGAAGGAACACGTAACTTTATCGAATCGTAATAATGTGCAACCCTCCAAATAAGGCACAATTAGAAAGAAAGGTAAACCCTTAAAAGATTCATTCCGTATTATAACGATTTTAGCTTTCTTTTATTTCTTTCGTTCTCTTTTTCCTTTTTTTCCTTTGCAATTTGGAAATGACGCAAATCCTTGTATCGCGTTTGATAATAATGACCCTATGTAAAGAAATTCGAAAATAATCCTTACCATATAGTGAACGATTAATTGATAACTATCGGATTTAAGATAATTTCGGAATGCTAGTTATCGGAATTACTAGATATACTAAGGTTAGCACTGTTTTAAGAATATCCATAAAGCTACGCGCAGTATATTATTAGGATTATCTTTCAATGTTGTGAAAGGTTTTACGAACGAAATCGACACGAAACATGAAAAGGAGGAGATTTGGGAAGGGAAAGGGAGGGTCAATAACTGTAATTGAGTTACAACCTATCGTGAAATTTTTTTATTCCATATTTTTTTTTTGTCTTTTTGTCTCTTCGTTGACCGATTTCTATGGTTTGTTTTAGATCGTTCAAGGTAAATAATATGGAGGTAAGTGAAATGAAGATCCTCAACTTTATAATTATTCATTGAAGGTCATGAAATAACGTTTAGACTATTCCCGAGATAGAAATGGAATAATTGCAAAAGATTTCAATCTTCTTCTACCCCACTTTTTTTCATGTATCGACCGTATCTTCCACCAAATCTCACCTTAATAGTTGGATACTCTTCACTCCACAAATCGATGTTATAACAATGTAGGTCTTTTGGGAGAATCATCAACAATGAACGCACTTAATATGTTTTCATGTATGTTGTCGCTCCGCTTTCTAACGAACCTCTCCATCATGTAAAAATAACAACATTATATCAACATGTCTGTACAGAAATTCATTCTCGTTCTCGTTCACATTTTCATTTTTCATTTTTCATTTTTCATTTTTTTTCTTCCAGCCTTACTTAAAAAAAATTATACTACGTTACCATTATCTATTAAGGTTAGTTTTTTTCCACATAATGCAATGTTCTCTCCTCGATTTTTAAATATGGGTATTTTCAACATCAAAAAGTCGTTTTATTATTTTTATTATGATGATTTTTACAATTTTTATGATTGTTAGTTATTATTATTATTAATTATAAATTTTACGATTAATTTTTTCAATGATCACAACAATTATTTCCGAATGACATGTTCACATGATGACTTTTTAGAGTTAAATTCGTAATTCGATTTGCTTCCGCAACTACCAACTTAAAATTCCCACATAAGTACATACCGGTTCATGCACATTATTTCACTTTATCGCTGTATATAATAATCAAGTTTTTTTTTCCTTTTTACATTGTTCTTTTTTTGATTTTGATTATCAATAGAGCTTCTTGATATATATATATATATATAACTGATTGAAAGGAAACACTGTGATTGATAACATTTATTTTATATTTATGGCGTTATATATGCGTTTATCGCACCTTCTGACCGTCCAGATACATATCTCGTACATATGCAACTTACCTTTTTTTTTTAAAAAAAAAATTCCAAGATTAAAAGAAATTATATAAAGCGGATTGAGGCTCGTCCTTTTCTTGACGATCAAGTAATTTGATTAAAACTTTTTTTTTTTTTTTTTTTGTTTTTCTTTTCTTGAATTTTGGCGATAGTTTTTGAAAATCTAAATAATAAAGATTCGTTTTGTTTACAAAATAAATTATCTTGTTTTTAAACAGCTTTTTACAATTTTTTAACACAATGTTTTTAAATCGATTGGCTTGTTTTTTTTTTTTTAGATAAATAAAATGGACGCGTCTATAAGGAAAAAAATTTTTCCATTTGGAATTTCAACATTTACCGTTTTACGCGTAATAGGATGTTACCGCAGTAGAAGGTCATACGACGTCAAAACGGTTTATTTTACTGCATTTGAACAAGTACGCTTGACATGATATTCTTTTTGTTGTGTATTTAGAGACGCTAACCGGTATTTTCTTTACTATTTATTAAAGGAAATCTTATCATCTTCAATTTTTCGCCACCTGTCGATTAAAACAATGATCTTAACAAGTTTCGTATTATGTGTTATGCAAAGCAAGTCATATTTGAAAAAAAAAAAAAATGTTAATAATGTTTTACTAAATTCGATTGTTATGCTTTTTTAATATAATCCTGTTAAGAAAATCTATTATAGGGTCTTAAGCAGCCTGAACGAATCGGGTAACCCCGCCAAAAAGAATTTTCTTTTTTCAATACAATGATGATGTAAGTATTCGCCAAGTCTTTGTTCCATTATAATACTCATTATTATTGCCATGTTCAGGTTTATTTATCATTCACATGATTATCTCGTATTAAGGTTTATTTTTAACTCAAAAGCGTACCCGGCATGCCTTTTTTTTTCACATGAATGGTCTGGAGCAAATAAGATTAAGATTAAATTTAATCAGAGATCGGAAAAAAATAAGGTGAGAATCCGAAAGTCATGATCAAAATTTTAAATTAGGTTCTATTTTTTTTTTTTTATTTCTTTCAATCATGTTCGAAAATGAATTGATTTAAGTTTCATTTTATGCTTTCGGATCCGATGTCTAACAAATAAAAAAAAAGATCATTTTATTTTTAGATTATTGTTTTTTTTTTAAAAAAAAAAAGCGAGTATTCATTTTCGGATATCATGCATACATGTTATTAACCTTATGACTCATGACTTATCTATCCTAAGGAAAAAAAAAAAAAAAAATAGAAAAATAAAAAAAAAACAGAGGATCACACCATATTTTCAATCAAAAGATTATCACCGAAACTTAATATGAAAAATTGGGACAATGAATATTAACACAAAATTGATGACGGTTGCAAATCAATAATAATAATAAATTATGGATTATTATTTTTTTTACTTAACGTGGTCTGAATGACGATTTTAATTCAAAATAAAGTAGCGCATTGAAAATCCCTCATTTTTTTTTTCTTTTTTTGATTAACAATTAACCAATTTTGCATAATGATAATAATATCAATTGGCATTAATGACAAACGTCTAATATCCATTACATTGTTTTCAAATTTTTTATTTTTGTTTTTTTTTCCAAAAGGTAATCTTTCTTTTGAAACACTTCACATTAAAAAATAAACAACAGGTGTATGACCGTAGATTATTGTTTTATTTGTTGTGAATCCACTTTCCCAAAAAAAAATAAAAAAGAGGTATTTTCCTGTTCTAAATTATCCCCGAATAAACAATACGCAGAAAATAATAGGTATAACATCTATTTTCAATATTAAATTAATTAGCTCCTCACTAATTGAAATTAAACTCGTGTTTGTTACACCAACCCTTTTTTCCAAATTTGTATCATAAGATTTGGTAAGCTTCTGCTAATTTGGAAATTTGTTAATATCTGAGATTATTAAGAAAAAATGTTTAACAATATAAATAAATAATGTAAAATATTAATTAAATATATGAGTTCTGAAAGGGGGGAGACAAATTATCGACCCAATTTTAGCGTCAAAAATTTTTGGTGCCGCAGCATCTCGCACGCAAGTTCCACTTAGTTTCCGCATAACAAGTTAAAGGGAAAAAAAAATCCAGGAATTGAAACTTGAAAAAAAAAAAACAAACCGATAATGACAACCGATAATGTGGTGGTCTATGCCCCCCTGCTTTTCCAAATTTTCTTCTTTTTTTTTCCAGAGATAAAAAAAAAAAAAAAAAATAAAATAAAATAAATAAAAAGCCAATTCTCCAAATGAAACCAAGAATGTTGTGTAAGAATTATTTACAAAATGAGCACTTTTTGAGAAAGTTAATAATGTCATTAAGAATATTACAAGTTTCACTTTACATTCAATTACGCATCCATTAGAATTATTCTGGTAAAGTATGTGTATGAATTTTTTTTTTTCCCCACTTAAAATATTCCCAATTAAAATAAAGAAAAAAAAATATTTTAAAATAGAAAAATTTAAAAATATTCTTTTTGAAACAAAAAAACTCATCTGATGTATGTTTATGCGAATATTTCAATACTATATTCCGATGAGATTGTTTGGCAATGGTGACACTGCCGACGAAAATCCATATCTAACTTCGTAATCGACTTGGTTCACAAACTTGTTAGATATCTTGTTTTTTTTTTTTTTTTTTTTTTTCCTTCCATTATATTTTCGATTATAATAATCAACCATATCAACCATATCAACCATATAAATATAGATGAAATGTATGATGGTAGCAAAAATTATAGTTTTAACTAAAAAAAAAAAATAATCCCCCCTTCTTTTTTTTTTTTGGTTTTTTTTTCTCGCTTGCTTCCGCTCTCATTCGATTGATAGGGTCCGGCACTGTTTATCGTATACATGTGTTCAAAAATAGAGGAACGTTTGACCAATGTACAGATATATTTTTTTTTGTCAAGATATCACATCTTGGGAACTTCATTGGGCAATTCAAATATCGTAACATTTGTTAAAAATTTATCACTTTAGAGTTGTAAATAAAGACGCAAAGGGTATAATTGATAAATAAATTATTAATTATTTGTAATTTGTTACTTTGTTCGTGGGTGAAAAAAAAATTTTTATTATTGACCCACGCAATCAATTTACACGCACGACGACGCTTGTTTGTTTGGAAAGGCATCTAAATTTAGCTAATAAAGAAAAAAAAAAAAAAAATCTCTCAAATTCCGTCTCCTTTTTAATCTTTGTATCAGGAAAATGCTCGTAATGGGAAACTGGAGCGTTTATCCCTTTTTTTTTTTTTTGCTGCTCGGAGACGATAATGTGCGTGTTTGTTGTTATTCATTGGGCGTAAGTTATCGACCTTTATTTAACTCGCTTGTTTATTTACTTTTTTTTAATCAGATAGCTGAAACGGATTAGAAAAAAAAAAAATTTTTTTTTTGATACAAAGGTTGAATGAATATAATTTTGTTGATGATTTACGCGTTTTTGTTTTGTTTGCTTTTTATTTTATTTTATTTTATTTTTTTCTCTGTTTCATGAATCTCTTCCTCATTCATTAAGGATTACCAATACCGCAATTCGTTTACATGAGTGCAAACTGCAAGAAGAATAATAAATAATAAACAAAACAAAAAGCATTTGAAAACCCCCCCCCCGTTGATGCAAGGTCGCGTAAAATGGAAATTAATTCGATGAAAAAAAAAGCCGAAAAATCGATTATCAAAATATCGGAGAGTGTAAACATTGACACCGAGGTGTCACCCGTTTTAAATGAGATTATTATTGGAAATATGAAAGATTTTATTTAAAGACTGGCAACCATTCGACCGCTCGCCCGGGTACTTTCACTTAACGTGGTCTTTGCACTTTTTGAACCAGAGTTGTGTGTATTCGGAGAAATTACGTGAATTACACAAAATTATCGGGAGAGGTTCATTCATAAAAACGTAATGGGTGATTCAAAATATCGTCATCATGTGCCAGGTTACAAGAATCTAGATTTCGAATAATATATTCTCACGGTCAATGGACAAACCGGTATCTACTGTTTAATATTAACAAAAAATTCACGGGTATAAAAAAATCAATAAGATGATCCAAATTTGGAAGGTTATTGATTTCCTATATATATATAATATCACCATCATCACTTCGCCGCAGGATGACATGATTTTTTCAGACAGCATTTCCTTTTATATGCACAAAACGATCTGTATACATGCAAAGCCCTCTAAGAATTTAAGGTCCGTCAAGTGACAAAAAATCACAGTTAATAAAGTATGTTTATTTATTTACCAGCCATTCAACGATTGATGCGAAGAGAATCAGTTCCATAAGAAAAAAATATTTCGTCATTTGAGAGGCGACAACAATTTGTATACAAAGGTATTGAGAAATAGGTGGTTTTTGTTCGGCTTTTAATTGTTAGGCAAAACGATTGTAAGTGGCGATTGTGTTGGTGACATGAAACGTTTTGGATGACTGTGATGGTGAGGAATAAAGCCATACCATGAGGGGGGGGGTGTGGTGGCGTAATTTGTCTCACCAACAGGTTTCTTATGAGATCATCCTCAATCCAACCATATCGATCCAAACTAAAGCAAGATAAAGTTTTGTGGTACGATGGTTAACATTCGAAGGTGACACTATTGTGTGATTTCCTTTAATGGGTCTATAGTCTGTAAATTTTGTAAATGATATAATCATTCTATCTAACCGTCGGGTAAATTCAAAGTTAATTGTTGGAAATGGTGGTAAATTGCGGAAAATTGTTTGTAAACAAGAAAAACGTGAAGAAAAATTTCTAACCTTAAAAAATATATATATATATATATATATAATAAATAAATAAATATATATATATCTCGATAAATATATTTAAAATCGAATAATCTATATCGATATCGATATCTATATCTATATTTATTTTATTAAACCTTATTAAAATTATAATATTTATAGTTTCATAAATCTAGATCTTTAGATATTGCAACTTGCTTATATCATCGTTAAGTAATAAGGAGGAGTGAGGAGCCGTTTGAAGATTTTTTTTTGTACGATGGGCCTTCCGGCTCGAAAAGGTGTAGATCCCAACGTTGCTAATACTTTTCAAGTTTTAAAAGGGAAAAAAAAATCTCATTTTCGTTCAAATTACTATAAATATAATTTCAACCATAGTGCTTGTGATGATAGTAAAATGTTCTATGATGAAATATCTGTATGTACGTTAAGCGTCATATAACCACCGAAATGTAAAATGTAAATTGTGCATTAAAACTTAAATTGGCGTAAATCTATTATTATATCATGATATATCAAAAGTTGAATCATCAATACAAGTTATAAAATGGGTACAACAAAAATAAGGCTCAAAGGTTGGAACGAAAATTCTTCTGACAGAGTGAAAGTTTGTAAACTAATATCGTCGAAAAAAAAAGGGGGGGTTCTTGGAAGAGAACGTTAATGAATTATCTTATCTATCACATGTACAAATTTGGGAAAGGTACTTTTTTTTTTTTTTTTTTTAAACAAAAGTTCTTTTTCATTCTACATAAAAAATTTAAAAGAAAATTGGGAAATGATTTTAACGTTAATAAAATACGGTTAGGGCTTTTTTTTTTTGCATAACGGTCCGAATTTGACAAATGCTTGTGTTTCTCGTTTTCATTTTTTCATTGCTTTATTAATTTCCATTTCCTATTTCTTATTCAATGAGGTTCTTCATTCTGAGATATACGAGATAGGTGATCGAACCGGTTTAAAATCTTGAAAATCTTGGCACAACCTAACCACTTTAAATGAGCACAATTCTGGGGTTATTTTTTACGATTGGTTTTTTTGTTTGGGAATAAAAAACGTTAAATTTCGAGTTGTACCGTGAAATCGAATTGGTGCTTGAATAATGGCAATTGTGGTATCCCATTGAAAAAATGAAAAATTTTCAATGAGCTCCGGACTCCATTAGCAGGTATACAAAATATCATTTGCATGCCCGCAGTTCTATAAACCTTGCTTTGGACATTTTTTTCCATTCGCCTCCGATGTCAAGTACGACAGGTATTAGCGGTGACACTTGTCATGACATCACGGATCACTTCTAAATCGTAAAAACATCATTACTCCACACATAGCAATATTCCGATGCATCAGGAAAAACTTGTATTTTTTTTTTTCTTGGTTTCACGATTTCTTTCACCCCAAAGTTTTGTGCTTTGCAACCTTTTCTCATTGTTTAATTAAGATACAATCACTGGATGGCAACGTGCATGGTTCGACTTTTAACATGGATATTTTCGTTCATGTACTTTGGTATATTTGACAGATTTATTTATGATCTAGCATTCAAGATGCCGTAATTTTTAACCTAAAACGAACGTTATAATTATTTAATGAACCCTAATACGACCTAGCTTTTTAATAATAAACAGCTTTCTTTAATTATACTTGATTGTCGCGTATTTTTTTATTTTTTATTTTTTTTTCAAAGTCAGCTGGCCCTTTTGCTCTTGCTTGTTTCAACGCAATAAAACCAAAATCACCATGCGATTGTCATAATACTTTTTATTTGCCCCAACGAAAGATCATCTTCCTTTCCATCCTTTCCATCCTTCCATGCGTGGATAAGTCCTTGCGTCTTAGTTTTGTTGGCGAAATTCTCGTTTAAGTAATCGGTCTTTGGATTTGTTTCAGGGGTGATATTTAAAAGTAAACCAGTCCGTCGACAATAATGCAATTGGCGCCGTTGTTTACCTCTTGCCCTTACCATAAGCGAGAAAAATAACAGGAACCCCAAGGGTTTCAACTCAACTTATTCATAACACCTTGGTCGTCTCTTAAAGGTTTCTCATCAACGCGCATATATTGCGTGACCTCATTGTTTACCTAGAGTCAATTGCAGCTGCGTCAACGCGCATTCATGAATGCGCGTCTTTCCCTGCCGTTAATCACCTACTCTAATTCATTGATGAAACGATTCCCAATTTTTTTTTTTTTTTTTAAAAAAAAAAGAATATCAACATCAATGCCGTACACAAATATTTTTGAAACTCCCAATTGTAGATGAATTATGAAATCAAAGAAAGGGTTGAAATCGGTTAATAGTCAATTGGTTGTGAATTAATAATGATTAATGCATTAAATAAATTTTTTTTTTTTTGTTTACCAAGTTAAGGAATGTTGAATATACATCTTGTTGGGGCACGTAATGATTTTGAGAAAAACTATTTTAACATAAATGAGGTACATGAGGTACAACATGAACGGGTGTCGCAAAAATGCGCATTTTTTTTTTCATTTGTCCAAAAGCCCAAGCGTCCTTATACTTTAATCATCTTTGCCATTTTTAACTTATCACCTAAGATTTTTGACCTAGGATTAAATTTAGAGCATGGGTAGGTAACTTTAACGAAACACGAGTCAACATGCGATAGACATTTTTGGATTACAATTAACTAGACTATTTTTTTTTTTTTTTTTTTTTTTAAAAATAAAGGTGACATTTTATCGGACGATTATACCCAAAAAGGTGATGCTTTAACCAAAGTCACGAATTCGACGTTCTATTTTTTAACTTGGAATAAAAGAAGTACGTTTTGCGAATCCGTTGGGGAATTTACGTATAATTGGTATGATATGACAGAATTATAATAAACAAGGCGTAGGTAGGGTAGGGTAAGGGAAAAAAAAAAATTTTTTTTTTTTTTATTATACATTAAAACGTTCGGACCAACTTATTATCCGCACCATGATTTAATAAATTTAATTAATTTAATTATTATTAAATATTTTTTTTTAATAAAAAAAAAAAAATAATAAATAAGGGTCCTATTATCCATATATGTAACGAGCTTATTAAGTTGACCGGTTTCGAAACCGGAATTCGTGAAATATGGAAATTAGATTAGTAAAAAGGAAATTCGTTTTCGTACAATTGTTTACGTAGATCATGCAAAGCGAACAACGGGCTATTTATCATTATCATTTAATCGAGCTCCCGCAGCAACATAGTGATAAAAATTTTTTTTTTTACTTTTTTTTTTTTTTTTTACGCCGTATTATGCAAAAAAAAAAAAAAAAAATCAAACGGGCGAAAACAATACGTAAAATAACAATTTCTTTTACGAATTAGTGTTCTTTTTATTTTTGTGATGAGACTCGGACACCTTGAACATCACAATTATTGAGCAAAAAAAAATACCAATCTTTTTTTTTTTTTTTTTTACCCAACATCAGGATTTCGCTAAAAAAAAAATGCGTTGTCCGTGAGTTGTAATCTATCAATCTATCAATCTAGCATGCAAATGCAATAATGGTGTAATGGCAAAATGTAGTGGTGGTGGTGTGAAATGTGAATGTACCCCACAGAATATTGAAGTTTTCAAAAAAAAAAAAAAAAAAAAGATGAATAAAAGGTAATAAATAATAAAAATGAATCGATTTTCTCGATACGATCCGAGCGCTTAATTACTGCGTGAGAAATAATTCCCTTTGACACGTTAAACGATTTACTGCGCCATGTCGGCCTAATTAAAAAAAAATCCATTTCCTAAAAAGAAAAATATTTTTCATATACGAAAGAATTTTTTAAGTTATAGTTTTATTTAAAATTAAGTTTAATGGATTGACTAGTTCAATTTTTAGGTTAATTATAACTTACTCTAAACAATGGACATGAAACTCGGTTTTTTGTTTGTTAGCAAGAGATCATTTATTTACCAACAAATGAAAAAAAAAAAAATTGTGATTTTTCCGAAAATGTTCAAAACTTTATGTTACAATTGAGAAAAAAAAACGAGGATTTCTTTGTTTGTTTTTTTTTTTTGTGTGATGTCGACGAATTTCAAGGCAAATTGAATTTTGGTGATAAACAACGGTAAAAGGATCAAGGTATTGTGATTCAAGAACCTCTCAGTAATGAAAAGCATTACTTTATTTCACGCCATTGTTGCCTCTTCAAAAATAAACCGCCTTGGAGATAATACAACAGCAATTTACATTTTATTGTTGCACGACAATCCGATAAGGATGATGTCTTTTTTTATTATTTTTTTTTTCATCATCCATTGTAGAGGAGGTAAACAAATATGTAGTTTAAACCCTAATAATGGGGCAAAACCCACTTGCTTCGAAAATTCCATTTTTGGCAAATTCCAAAGATCGTTGAACCTTCGTCCCTTCAAGAGAAGATGTTCAAACGTTTTTGGATCATAATAAACATCATGATGTCGATAAATACTGACACAGAAAAAAATAAACATTTCGAAAATCCGCTTTCCTTTTTATTCTTACGAAAAAATCAACGAAAATAAATAAACGTTCCAAATTGGAAAGAAGAAAGAATGGCGGACCTTTATTTAGCATAATCTTTTAAACAATGGGATTTTGAATTTTTATCATCTTTAACATCTTGATCTCTCATATCACTGATATAGAAAAACGATTTTTTTGATCTTTTTTTAATGGCCAATACCTTGTACTTTTTTTTAAAAGAAAAAAAAAAAAGCAAATGGAATTGTTTATTACGCATGATTCCTTCTTTTTCTGATAAACCTTTATTGGCAATCAAGTCAAGTAATAATGTTTCTAAAGTTAACAACCTAAAAATTAATATATCACGATCACCTAAAATTACGAGAAGATCCCAGAAGGAACCAATTAAAAAAATTTTGTTAGATTAAAATAGAATGGCTCGTTCACGTTGTTCACGTGTGTAAATTTAAATTCAAAACCATCTAAACTTCAAAACGCCGAACCCATTTATTTGGAAAATCAAAGCGTAATATCGCATGTTAACTTCCCATTTTTTCTTCACAATGTCTAATCCTCTATTATAGTATCGTTTTTTTCAATGAACACCCTTTTAGTAAACCGATTAAAAAGTCCTTGTCTGAAAAAGAAGTATGTATTTTACGTAAATAGGGCTCGGGTTCAAAAAAATATTAAAGTTTTATTAAAAGTTCGAACATCCAAATATGGTTCCAATAAAACAATGCCCTCAAGGTCTTGAATTGAATTAAAGTTGGTGTGTTACCATGTTACCAATTCAATAGTTCCATTGTATTTTTTCATTCTTTTTTTTTTTTTCTTTTTTTTTTTGGCAATTGGAGTCTTACATGGCGTAAGTTGATTACATTTTTTTTTTGTTGGTTCTTCCATTTCCTTTTTTTCTCTTTTATTTTTTATTTTTATTTTTTTATTTTATTTTTTTTTTAATAAAAAAAAATATTCTCTTGAAAAAGGATTCTAATTTGGACGAAAAAGGAAGTATTTGTAGATCGTCGCTTATAAACAAATTTTTTTGCAAGCACGCCAAATGCTGCTCGGCACAAATAATAATAAAGTACATGTGATCCGTGCAAATAAAAAAAACAAAAGGTGTAATTTTCACGGAATTAATTTTATTTTTTTTTTTTTTTTGAAAATTCTGTTAATTTCAATACGTCGTCAGTAAATTGGGGCAATCAAAAAACACAATATAACGGTTGTTGCAAATTATCGTGACACGACATGATTCTTACAAATCAGATCGAATATATAGAGTATATAGGATTTATTTACCTATGAACTCTTGAAAATAAAGTACGATTTTATCACTTTGAACAATCAAATCGTCGAATAAAAAAAAAGAAAAGTAATAAGTGGACGGATCCATTTACTAGTATTTTTTTCAACCATATCAATTTACCCTTAATAAAATTCAAAAAGTTTGGATCCAAACAAGAAATTTTTTTTTTGAATTTATCCAAATTGGAATTATTTGTGCTAAATTTGGGCTAAATCGTTTCGGATGAATAAAAGTACGCCATCGAACTGCATGTACCGTACTCGAAATCACATCAGCAGAGCTGTTGATGTAAAAATAGCGGGCCTCGTACAGACTTGGTAAGCGTCATGGTTAATCTGTTGGAGATGCGTTCAAACCTGATCTTTTTTTTTTTTTTTTTGCATGAATTTGATTATTAATCCCGTTTCGGCATAAAACTGACGTTGAAATACAATACTTTGAAATAATTAATTGTCGTGATGATTTTGATACAATAAAGATATGCACGTCAAGTAATATCCCACTTTTTTTTTTTACGAAAATAAACGCGATATCGCGTCTCCACACTAGTTTCTTTTTTTCGCCGAATTACCATGTTTATATTAAATTAATTTTTCTATTGTTATTGCGATTATGTACGATACGACTTTTTTAAGAATGTGCGAACAATTTCATTCATAGCGAAAACGGCTTAGTTATTTCCTGTTACCTATACACAAACAACAAGGAAGCATCGAGAACACTAAAGCAGTTGGCTAAGCGTTCATATTGTTCTTTCATTGAATCGATCACAATGAATTCAATTGAAGAGATGAAGTCAATTGAATATTCAAGCTTTTTATCTGTCACCGAGGTGTAAACTATCAACGGTCTCTCCTTTTTTTCAATTGATATCATTTTGAAGCACAAAAAAAAAAAATAAACTGTTTATTTGTGTGTGAGAATTTCTCCCTCTTTCAAAAAAATAAATAAATAAACAAAAAAAAAAAAAAAAAAAAAACAATTGTAATCATAATAACATTTTCTGTAAATACTAAACTGACGAGATGATTTAACAAAGAAAAAAAAGGAAAAAAAAAAAAAAAACCTGATGTCCCAAAAATTATCAAGATCATCATTGTATACTTTAACATTTGACGTTGCAGATCGTCCTAACTTTATTTTTTTTGACAGCGCACAGTAATTCTGTTGCTGCGCATAATGACATCAAAAAAAAAAAAACCGATTTTTCAAAATAAATAAGAGAAACCGATGATAATAATAATAATAATAATAAAATAAAAATAATAAATTTTTCATGTTCGGTGTACATCGTCAATGGTTTAACTTTCTATACATCAAAGCGACTTAATGAACAAAGGATGAACAAAGAATAAAAAAACGAATAAATTGGCGCGTGGCGCGTAATTTCAATAATTAAAGTAATTAAACCATTTTCATTTCGGATCTCTCATAAACCGGTCATATTAATCTTGATTACATATTTTTTTTTTAATTTATTAAAAATTTTAATGACCATTATGGCAACGAAAATAAGACAACAATTATGGTGACAATTCAATTAATTTTTCTCTTGTCCTAAAAAAAAATTTTCCTACAAAGAAATTCTCTCAAGCCCAATCGTGCATTGTTACAAATAATCGAATCAAATTTCTTTTCACAGAAACCGATTATTAAATAGTCTGATGCAAAAAAAAAAAAAAAAAAAAAAAAAAAAAAAAAGATTCAAACAAAATAGATCAGATTCATTATGATTAAATTTGGTAGTTGAATGAAAAAAATTTTTTTTTTTGCATTATGGTAACAAATTAAGCCGGATTTGATTAATGATTTCTGTGGTATTGGTATTCTCAGGAAAAAAAAATCTTTTTTAAAGAACCCGACATTACGTAATCAATGCACGACATGTCAACAATAACTTTGAACAATATAATTATCTAAGATTATTTTGACTCTTTTTTCCAACTAGGCGTTTTTAGAAAGGACAATATTTGTGTTATTTATTAATAAGCATCTTACTAAATCAAGTTTAAAAACCGATATGAACTGATCACATGAAATTTTAGGAAAAAAAACAGCCCCGTAATAATGTTAATACTAATTAATTATTGAAAAGTGATCTCGCGTCATACTTAATACAATTTATTTTTATTTTTTATTTTTTGAGAGAATAATAAAGAAGATGAATAGCATGTACAATCACGATTCATTCCCATTTATTTCCTCTTTGAGATCATGAGATAAGATCGCTTCTCTTGAGGGATTTATTTATTATGCTTATCTCGTTTGTTTGCCACAGATGCACGCGTGAGTACATGTTCCATTGTTAAGCAAAAGCCTTTTTATACCTGAATTAAGCGTTCCTATTGTTTCTTTTAAAGAGAATGGTCTTCCCCGCGAAAACGCGCAATTTGACACTTCACACGTCATTTCTTACAATATCGATCTACGTTTCATCTACCTAATTTATTTAATTAAATTGACCTAGAGTTAGGATTTGATACACGTACGTCACACACTTTTTAACGTAATACGAACTTCCTATCACATGATTTTGCCCACTTGTTTCAAAGTTAATTTCTCCATAACATCTCATAAAGCTAGTATGTACGCGTAGTTTCTCGCAATTTCCTTTTTTGGTCTTCTCGCACATCACATTTACCAAATTTGTGGATTATTTAATCGCGGCAACACAATCTAAAAATTTCCTGAACACACGACAATTCAGTCAAAGATTTGCAAATCGACTTATTTACAGCTCTATTGAAGATAATAAGAATTAAAAGAGTCCTATTCATATCGAATATTAACCTTCGAGGTCGGTCATTTAGATTTTTATTAATAGTAAAAAATAAATAAATACATAAATAAATAGATTAATTCTACTCATTATAAATTGTCGCGCAATTTTCTCCGTCTTTTTTTTTTGTTTTGTTTTATTTTCGGATTAGCTAATTTTCTTTTTACTCGCAAAAACATCCGAGATTGTTGTGTTGCATACTCATCATCAATCACCTAATCTCTTTCCCTTTTGATTGTCTGTCCCTTTTCCCATTTAAAACCCTATATACACCCCAAATCAACTTAATAACTTGTTATTTGAATCGAGGGGATGTGATGTATGTGATATTTGATTCCCATTCTTGTTTCAAGTTTAAAGTTCTACAATTCATTCCATTAGCTATAAACAGGTATTGTAGAAGGAATCCTAAAGATTCCACAAATTGGGCGTAAATTTTTTCTTTCCAAACTTTCTTTGTTTCGAATAAAGTCATTGTCAAATCTAGTTAAACTTGAATGCTAGTCATATGAATGTTTATCTTTTTTTAATATAAATTGTGTTCTTTGTCTCCGCTACTATCCGAACTCACTTCTCCATAGATTATCATGTGTTTGTTAACGTAATTGTAACAAGTTTCGAATGCTCTAAAAAAACATCACACGGCATCATTGAGAAAATCATTGCAAGCTATTCCCCTTTTCTTCCTGGGTCCATAGAAATAATTTATCCTAATCCTGCCTCATTCAATACAAAAAAAAAAAAAATAAATAAATTAAATTAAGACAGTAAACAAAAAACAACATGCAATGCATCTAATGATAACATTGATAATTCACACACACTCGCCTCTCCCCCTTTTTTTTTCATATCAGATAATGTCCAAGCTGATATGTAATCACAGATGTGTTTCTAACCTAAATTCCTTTTTTAAAAGAAACTTTTCTTGATTAAGCAATAAATCCTCTTTTCCAAAGGTTTTCGTTCCTGAATAATCCTGAATTTTTCGGAATCTCTAAATTTGTTCTAATTGGTCCACCAAACAAGTCAATGTCAACAATTGATACATTTAATACATAGGACCGCATAATCCATTCATTAGATGCTGTAATCTTAAATTATTAAGAAGGGTATTCGTCTTTATTCACATGATTTTGGGAAAAAAAATGTAAGAAAGAAAAAGTGAATGTCTGTTGGTCGAAAACCACCCTCAACGATAATGGAATAATGGATAAACAAAGTAAAGATAACAATAATGTTTCCTACTTTATTAATCTTATCGAAAAATTCACCAAAAAAAAAAGGAAAGCTTCGTGAGAAAAATCTTCAAAACTTTAGGTGGAATACTGCGGTCAAAAAAGGTTTCGTGCCGCGCATATCTACCACATACGCATGTAAGGGTATCTTGTGTCTGCACAGTCCGTCAGCCCTTAAATCAATGATTCTCAGCCTATAATGAGGTTATGAATGAATGATTTTTTAAAAACAATGGCAAAAAAAGAACGAAATAACGTACCTATGCTGAAGGACTACGTATGACGCATAATCCTCATGAATCATGCAGTAAGTAATCGTTCTTTAATCTACGCCATTATGTTCAAAGTTGAATACTTTTTGTGAGAAATATATCCTGACGGACACGTTGAACATATACAACCAAAAAAAAAAGGATGGAAAAATCACTGCAATATTACGAAATGTGTTGCTTTAAGTTGTTGTTCTTTATTTATTATATGATAAACCATCAGTAGACGCATTTTTAACATTTTTGGAAAAAGAATTTTCAAGGTGATTCCCAACCATAAAAAAAACCTTCGTGCTTTTGCGTTGTGATTTGTTTAAAGAGCAACCCTTGTAAAAATCATTATTGATAAAAAAACCACACGTTCTAAACTTGTAGTAAACAAAAAAGCTTAATATTATTTTGTTATCAGAACGCAATAAGCGCTTGCTTCCACTACTTTTTTTTTAAAAAAAATTTACACTAATAAACTAAAAGATTTCACTGAAAAATACAGATTGAAAAAAAAAATATAGAATGGTTTTTTTTTATTTTCCTTTTTTGTTTGTTTGAAAAGAAGTTTGTCAGTAAACGAGCGGCGCATAAATTAAATAAATTAAAAAAAAAAATTTCCGAGAAAATATCCGTTTTTTGATAAGAAAAAGCTTCACAGTAATAATTTTTACCGGAATTTTACAAATGCTATTTTTCCAAAGTTGGCTGTTCCCAACGGAAATTCCGAAATTCGGTGATTAAAAAGTTAATTCCGTGAAATTCTGTGATTTGGCCAGATCAGCCAACATTACGATTCGCAAATTCTGGCCAAACTTAATATCAGCCAGCATTACGATGATAAATCGGGCCAAAATTTTGAAAATTATCATCCATATTCTGTGAAATTCTGTGAAACACAGAAAATCATCGTCCCTGCGCGGAACTGTCGCAGGGATTGATCTGCAAAAATCATTGGCTTCCGAATTTAGCGATGTTACATCATTGGCAATTTTGATTAAAAAAATAGATGACTTTCTTTCCTCTTACTGAGGATCTTGCCCTGGAACAAGTAGGGAATATTACTAGTATATTGAACCTTAATTTAATTTAATTTTATCATATTAGTTATGGAAATATCAATAACAAGAAATAAGTTGATGTTATCACTTGGTAAAGAATTTGTTTAGATATTTTATTATTGATTCACGAAAGGAATTTTTAATAAATCGAGATACTGTCGTATTTGTTTTAAATCAACCAGTTTCCGGGCTGACAAAAAATTTAGTTCAACCTTCTTTGATGAAAACCCAACCGTTCCGAATATATCCCATTAGGTATCTTATTTCAGAAATACACGTTTGAAATATTTTTCCATACAAATAACACGGTTCACCATCTAATCAAGTAATTTAAAAAAAAAGAAAGCACTTATAACTTTGATGAACTCGAATCGTTTTGATTTTTATTTTTTGCACTTTTTTTTTTTATTAAAAAAAAAAAAATTGATAAATCAGATCTTTACATCATTCACCTATTTCGAAAGTTAAATGGTTACCTTGGAAGAAGAAAAAGGAGAAAGAACCCGTGATGTTGAAATCAGCTCATCCCGAGCTCGGGGCTTCATCGGTGTTTGATTTAGAACATGAGAAGGAGAAAAAGGAAGAGATTCCAAAAATTACTGATCAAAGTGACTCAAGGTATACTGAGGCTAAAAAGAAACATACAGAGGTACACGTCTAAAAATAATTGACATGGAGAAAGCCTCCCGTTTCGATCTTATTTTTCATGCCCTTTGCTTTTTTTTTTCCATAGCATCGATATTCTACAACGAATTTTCATATCTCTCCACGTAAACTTAGCTTATTAGCTAATCAAATTGCCGGTAAATCTCTTAACGAGGCAATTAAACAAATGGAATTTTCACCAAAACAAGCGTCTAACAAAATCATGAATTCTTTAATAACTGCTCGATGTCATGCTTGGAGATATAAGGCCATGGAAGCGGACAAGTGTTATATTGGTACGTCAAGATATTTCGTACTCTACACTTCAATATAATAATCCAACTGATTCAAATGATGTGTATGCTTTAGAACAAGCTTGGGTGGGTAAAGGGATCTACCGGAAAAAACCAAATTATGGCGCGAGGGGTAGATTTAGTTGGTTAAAGATGAAAAAGGCACACATGAAATATGTTATCAAAGAAAGGAAATCCGTTGAAGAAGTGGAAGGCATAGGCAGAAAACGTAAATTAAAAGGATTCAATTATGAAAAGAAGAAAGTTTGGACGCCACTTATTGAGGATAAACCGATATATAATCCTACGCGATTTTACAACTGGTAATTTAAACGCGTGACAAAATCATGCTAGTGCCGCAAATCGCACGTTGTCACGTGGTTGCTATTGTATTACATTTTTGGACGCTTAATAAAAAATGTTTATTTTTCATATCCAAAACCAATACGATTTACAAATTTTTGTCTCTTTGAGAAAGCCAAATAATTAGCCAAAGGTACGTTGGCTAATTTCACCCCTTAAATCTGAGTATTGAAGACCTCCCTCACATAAAGAACGGCTAATTTTAGTGTTATTGTTGATCATTGATATGATGATAGTGATTATTGATTATTCGTCGCATGTCACAAAACTCGCGTTCATCATCAATACCCAAAAGATAAAAAGGTAAACCAAATAATTAAAAATTGTTGTTTACTTTTCATGTGCGTTATTAAAGTAGAAGGTGGTAAAAAAGAGCAATTTTAAATAAACAATAATACACAAATAAAAACAAAAAATCAAATTTCGTTGAGGGAATCTTTTTTTTTTTTTAATCAATTAAAATAAAAAAAAATTTATCCATAAAAGCAGACTCAGCCATCCGAAACTTGGATAATTACTGCATACACATGTGTCATTCTAAATAACGAATTTTCTAATAGGCAAAAGAGTAAAAAAAAAAAGATTATTTCACGTTACCTAATTGACGTACAATTCTTAATAAAGAATATCAGTTCCATTTTATCAACATTTTAAAATAAGGTAATCTAGATATCTTCAAAGGAAAATTTTTACTTTTTATATTAATGAATGTAAGCGATGTCATGCATGTTTACGACACTTGCTCTAAAATCAATAAATCCAAAGGTGTGGTACGACTTGAGAGATGGGATCGAGCGACATTACAATTCAAAGGAAAAAAAAAAAATTCTCGAAGCTAAACCGTATTGCATTTGTTGGTAAGATAATTATGTATGGTAAAAGCTTAGACATAAGAAAAAAAATGTACCCCACATAGAATCTTTGTTCCATTTAAGGTCAATCCTTATTCATTAAAGATGCAAAGAAGAATGCGAAAATGCAAGATACAAGTGTCCATTATGATAGCAAATGTACTTAAACAAAAACAATTTCTTAATGAAAAAAAAAAAAATCACAACTTTCTTTTGAGAAACAAAATCATCAAGTAGGTTAAGGGCGTCATGCTTGTTGTATGTAATACATAATTAAATTCGAACCCTTATATTCACGAGATTATGACTGGAAAAAGAAAAGAGTTGCAAATTAAATCTTTGGATCGTGGATTCGAGAGGATTTTTTCTTAACCAATGAACAAAAAAGATGCACGCATGTAAAAGCTAAGGGTTAAGGTTAAGCTATCTTGAAATGTATATTAAAAAGAAAATGCATATGGGTTTATCCCAAGAATCAACGAGCAAAATGATGAGAGGGTGTGATTTATTAGAGATGATTAAATTTTCGGAGATATAAACTAATTCAAACGACAATCTTTCTCTACATGATCCATTCTTGTGCAATATTTAGTGCTGATGTTGAATCAACTAGGAAGTTTCCGGTAAGTAAAAAAGTTTTAAAGTTGAAGGAACACCCGAAAGAAACATCATTTTTTTTTTTCCATTGGGGAATAATATTTTTTTTTTCACTTAAAAAAAAAATAGATATAGTGTTAAAGTAACGAACTATCCCCTAAAATTACTACTCATTTTTTTATAAAGTGACACCCGAAGGACTATATTTGGTAAGTGGGGGGGGTTTCTATTTCTTTTGCACCCTTGTACTTATTTTTTTTTTTTTTGTTTAACATAACTTATAAATAGTGTACAGATATCAAAGATTAAATCCTCGTATTTAAAAAACCTCATTGTTAAAAAAAATATATATATGAGTAACCTTAAATTAAATTGGTACAGTACATACAATAGTAATAAGTCCATGGTCCATAGTATAAATCCTTTGATCATCATTGTACAAAAGAATCATATAAAGTTTTGATGTTCTTTTTTAAAACAAAATAACGGAGCGATTGAAGTGAAAATAAAAAAAAACGCCAATTTTATCTTGTCCGCTTATCAATCTAACGTAATGGAAGCTAAACGGAAGTAAACAAAGGATAAAACTTACATCTCGAGATCTTTTTCTTTCTTTTTTGCCATTTTATTTAGTTCACCTCAATGAAAAAAAAAAATTTTTCCTTTATTTATTTGTTATCAAACTTAATAACAACATTTTCAATCACTTTATTTATGTTACTTACTGATTTATTTTTATTTAATTTATCATCATTATAACACGAGATTATAATAAGAATGATTTTGTAACGTGAAACATTATGTATACACAAAATGAAAAAAAAAAGGGAAATCTTTTTTTTTTTTTATTTATATTAAAAAAATGCGTTTTTACATTAAACCTAATGTCACAATAATAAATAACAATATGTCCATATATTACTCGATTGTGATATACGTTCGTTGCAACTTTCTTGGCATAAAAAAAAAAAGTATCGATGTCATTGTAATCAATCATACATGAAACTCACAATTGCTTCTAGAGATATAATCTCTTTTGATTGTAATGGAGCATGTAAAACATTTTCAAATGTAATCTGCTTTGAACTATCACTAAAACGAAACCTTCCAATTCATCGCATCGAGAAGATCCAACTGAAACTTCAATTGAATTCATCACACCCAAAATCAATTTGAAAAAAAAAGTGGTTTCAATCTAACTACAGATTAAAGTGATTACTTTCCCCGGTCAGGTGCGTGCATTGAAGCAGGTGATTTTTCATCTTTTTTTGAATAATCTTAAAAAAAAAACTTGTTACTCCCCACAAAGAAAATTCAAAACAAATTCTTAGAATATTACACAAAAGTGGGATCAAAATGAGTGAATGAACCTGCATTTAAACAAGAAGAAAAAAAAATTTGTAATAGCGTCAAAAAAAAAAAAAAAAATTTTTTTTTTTTTTTTCGCAGATTAATTAAATTTAAGGAAATAAAAAAAATCGATCCATCAATACTCATTATTTAGTAATTTATTCATCAACCGTCCATAATGACTGAATCGGCCCTTCTCCGCCAAAGCACACAGCATATACATCATAATACAATAATAAAAGGAGAAAAAAATAAATTACGCATATTGAATATGTTAAAAACTTGAAACCTTTCTAGTTTTTCAAAGTTTGTGCAATTCAAAAAAAAATAAATAAATAAATAAATAAATAAAAATAATCCGTTATTTTTGTTTATTTTAAACTTTAAAAATTTTTTTCAAGAATCAATGAACCTCGTTTTGTTTAAATAATGACGATAAAAGTTGTTGTACCCGAAATGTTACGCGTTTCTCGTATTGTTTGGACTGCATTTCTGATTGGATAGTCGTTCGTGAAATACAATAGAAAGGATAATCACGTGCACCTTCCTTATCTTCCGTGAAAAAACTTGAAAATACTTGAAAAAAAAAAAAATTTTTTTGTCTCATGTTCTATTGCATTTTCGAGAATAATATGTCATACGACCAAATTTTAATAAAAACCATAAAAGAAATTGATTGTTACCCTTTCATAGGAATTAAGATTTAGATATAATTTATCCGTTCGGGATGACGGTATAGCACATGAACAAATATGTATATAATATAGTGCGTCACATGAAATTTGCGTAGCCCGTGAAACCGTGAAAATGAAAAACAATCTGCTACATTCTTAGGTTAAGCCTAGGTATCCCCCCAATTTTACCGCCAAAACAACTTGCGAGTTAAAATAATATATCTTCCACAAATATCTCAACGTATGGTTACTTTAATGTTTATAACGCACCATGCCTTGAAGATTCTTCTTTTCGTAGTCTTCAAAAATCATAATCCCACGCCATTGAACAATATTAACCTACAATTAGATTCTAATTATCACATATACACTTAGTTTTAATTATAATATTGTACAATAATTGATTGTTTGAAATTATCATAAGTGTACTACAACACGTATAAACCTGTTTACGCGCAAGTTTTTTTTTTTTCGTGAATTATCATGTTAAGAAAAGATTTTTTCTATAATTAATAAATTAATGTTATGCAAACCACATATACATATTTTTTTAAAAAAAATGATAGAACTACTTGCATAGGACATTGTTCGGTTGTTGTATGCACAGAGAGAAGGAAAAAAAAAAAGGGAATCTTCCCCACAATATTTCTCAATAAATCGATTTGCATTTCTCCATCGCAGTTTCCCTGCTTAAGTTAAAATAAGCGAAAGATAAAAAATTTTTTTTTTATTCATAATTTAAACGATACGCACATGATACATTGACGATGCTTGCATATGGCGCGTAAAGCTGATTGAAAGAAAAAATGCGTGAAACATTTATGCATAATACTATTTATACAGTTTTAGTCACATACCTAAAATAATTAATTATATTACGCGATCTTATTTTAAAACTAGGATTTCCAAAAAGAAATCATCGGTTTCGCGCCAGTTCGTGGTATCATTCATTATCTTGGCAAATCAGTTTTAAATGTAAATCTATCTCACTGTCAACTCCTTCCCCGCAATTTATCTTTTCTTAACTGGCATTTAATTCGTTTATTAAATTCCTTTCAAAGGTTCAATCACAATGATTCACCTAGTTGACATTACTTCCCCACACGATAATTATACGTAAAGAAAAAGCAGGCAGATCGGGATTGCCTGAAATTTTTTTTTTTTTTTTTAACGCGCTTCTATTGTACATACATAGATACATACATATAATTTACATCATTACAACATACATACATGGTTGGGCGTTAAAAATAATAATTTTGGTTTGTTGATCTCTCTTGATAATTGAATAAGGTATTATCCTAATACTTTTTTTAAGTGATAAATTTTTTTCGTATACAGATTTGTGTATATTAAAATTATATAATTGCATTAGACTTGTGATATTTCAATCATTATTTCAATCATATGTTCCTCTCATACATATAACCATTTTTCTTTCTTTCTATTTTTGAAAAACCTCTTACTGTAATAACCAATGAATGACATAAAAATTATTAATGGTCTTTAACCACAACTTGTGCCGAAAACTAACTCAGTGCTGCCTCGGGAATTTAAGGCACTATCACTTTTTTTTTCTCAAAAAAAAAAAAAAAAAAAAAAAACTGGAAATTTTTTGTTATTTATCCTTTATAGAATTACAAGTGTGCAAATTTGGAGACCAATGATACGGGCGGGCTCCTTGCAAAAAAAAAAAAAAAAAAAAAAAAAATAAAAAAAAGGGATATGCCTGTAAAGAAAAGGTACCTTGCTTAAGTTTAAAAGTTATAATTAGTGATAACTATTAGGTTTTTTAACAAAGCGACACACGTCATTTCTAGTTTTTAATTTTTTTTATTCATTATTCGCCTCGAATGAATTCATAACAATGATCAAGTTAGATTTTGGTTTATTTATTAATTAAAAAGTCTCACTTTCTCACGAGTACAAACTAAAAAAAAACGTATTGTCTTGACTGGTCGTGAACGAATAATAACCCAACTTTGATTCTTTCAATAAAAAAAAAAAAAAAAAAAAAAAATCCCTTTTTTCTTATCTTTTGAATGAAAACAAATACGTTTGTTTATATAACATATGAAAATTTCATAAAATGAATAAACATTTAAGCAAGGTTCTACTGAATCCAAATTTGGCAAATTTGTCATTAATTACAATGAAACCTCGTGTAGAAATTATAATAAACCGCAAATGAAAAGATGATGTTTAATTAAGTAAAATTAATTATTTAATTTATTTTTTTTTCTCACACGTTCATAAAAGGGAACAAGAAATTCACACAACCTCATCAGTATTGTATTCATGTTCATTGTCATATACAACATCCGTTAATTTCGGGAGGTCGGTAAGTACCTGGTAAAGCACGGTAATAGGTGGTTGGCGTTCCGCCGATTTCATTTGAAATTCCCACCGCTAATTTTCCCGCGTTTTCTTATTGTTATTACGAATTTTAATCGATCACGAGATCGAATTTACCTGTTTGGAGATACAATTATAAAATCACCAAAGTAATTTGATTATTTGACAATTCCAAATCTTCCATTATTTCATTATTTACATTAATCATTATTCGCAATTTGAGATAATAATAATAAGAATAATCATCCATTATCCAACCATTTTGATCTTACTACAATTAATCATTTAAAACAATGAATCCAATTCATTGAAAAAAAAAATTTTTTTTTTTTTTTTTTTGTTGATTTACACAAGAAACAAACAAATCGAACAATTCGTAAACATGAGGGATTGTCGCGTCAATGTCAAAAAGTTAAAAGTCAAAACAATTTTTTTTTTTTGAGAATAATGTTTCTTTTATAACAAGTATCGATTATGCATTTATGTAAAACAATCAAGTTTGAGATTATTATTGGTGAGGTACGTTAACTTGTTAAGGTCTTTATTTATAAGGGGCAAAAGTTTTTTTTTTTTTTCCTTCCTTTTGGTAAAACATTAGAATTACCCGCGCTTTCAATTACAATATCACACACAACACAGTAACTTCATGGTCCCAGAACCTCAAAACTCGGTTACTCTTTGAACTTTCTCACCACCCCTTGTGTCATTTAACCATTAAAGTTACATTATTTGTTTTGCATTAACTTAAAATCGATTACCGAGATTTTAAATGAAACACATTCCCGGTTTAATAGTCAAAATAAAAAAAAATAATAATAAACGCGCCACATAAATGTTTAGGTTAATTTTTATCGTTCGAACTCATTAACTTGTTCACAAAAAGCTACCTTAAAATCACCAAAATACACAAGCTGTGAAGATTTTCTTTCACGAAACAATGACGACCTTCATAATATGATAATCCTAATTTCAAAAGCTCAACTAATGAAAATGATTTTTATTATAAATAATTAACGTAATATATTTGTGATAATGATACGCGTTCAAGTGATTGGGATTTTAAGCAAAATAAAGTTGTGATATTCAAGAAATCGTTTAGGAGGTCATTTTTTACTGGAATAATTTCTAACTGAATGATTGTTTGAATGTGACAAATTTTTTAAAATCGATCGAATAACCTTTTATTTAAATAATTATACTAAAATAAATTTTTGAATGAAAAATTTTCTTGATTAAGAGAACAATGTGTTTTTCTCGTCACATTATGCCAATTTTGATCAATTTATTTGTTTATGTTGTACTTTCTTACGTTGGAAGGACAAACAATGTTACTTTAATTATCTTCTTTTAATGTAAAGTAGTAATGATCTCCAAACACCATTTAGAAAATCATCAATTACCAAAAAGATTTTAACCTCAAAGAAAAACTTTATTTTTGTACATGTAAATCCACACGAGAATATTAAAAAAATTAAAATAACATTTAAACCGTCACACGTGAACCATGTGAAAGTAATAAATTTCCACGAGGTATGAAAATGGTCGGTCATGTGCGCTTATTTGGTTTAGTTTTTGATTTTTAATTCTGGTCAGGCAAAAATGGCTAGAATTATGATATTCTCAAAAAAAAAAAAAAAGTTATATTCTAAAAAAAAAAAAGGTTTTACACATACATTATCAAAAGAATTCGACTCACATTTTTTTTTAAAAATGAACCCAACAATCCTTGGAAGACGCGTAATTAATTGCCAATAATCATCATTCATACACGAAATTTATATATCTTCTAGCAAGTCACCAGCGACCAATTTTGATAATTTTGATTATAATAAAAAAAAAAATTCTTGATTTTTGAAGATTATACTCAAGGTATGAACAATATTTCCGAAATGTCGATAATTTACAGTGCAAACTGGATGAGTATTCATTTTAATTTCACAGTATCCAACCTTATCTAACTACTATCACCTATATATATTAACGATTTAAGAAATTAGATCAAAACTAAATAAATTTATCAGCAATAAAAAAAAAACATTTTTCACCACTTACAATATATGCTGCTCCGATGCGGGTCATAACTTCCCCGATTGGAAAGTTTTTTGTGCTCTTTATAAGTTGATTCTACCAAGAAATATCATCTATTGTCCAGCGTTTATCACGTTATTTACAATGAGATTATATAAAAAAATTAAACTCAAGCTTGCCATTAAACTTTCAAGGTATAAAAATCTTTCTTTTAGTATATACAAATACACTTTTTCGTAATTCAAATTTAATTCACAATATTATTGTAGGTAAAATAGAATTAAAAAATATTTTCCAAATATACTGTACCTAAAGATATAATGATGATGCAAATATTATGCCTCTTTTAAGTTTTTCGATTGACATAGAAAATTTATTTTCCAACCCAATGTCCCCAATACATTTAGCAGCACCGACCATTGCACGTAACAATTCATCTAAACTCCTAAAGTTTCGAACTAGGTTACCTTCAAACAATTCAACTTTTTTGCATGTTTCCTCAAACGTGGCATTCTAAACAAAAGCCATAATTAATAAGGATGAAATTAAAAAATACCTGACAATCATGTAAAAAAGACTTAACTTACATTACACCACATGTAGACACTTTCCATTAAATCCGGCGCAAAGGTTGCAACATATTCATCTTTATCAATGGGAACATTACATTCCTCCGATAAATCGCCAATGATTCGTGCGGTTTCTTTTATTTCGCGATATGGACCTATGAATTCTTCCCTAAGATCTCCTTCCCCACATTTTGATTTATCATCAAATACAAAACAACTTAACACAGCTGCTATCACTTCAGGTGATAGATCATTAAACACCCCGTTTAACAACATTTCAGTCAATATCAATTCATCTCCTGAAGTAATTTCACAAGCAATCCTCCCTTTAAATTCCACCACGTCATGTTCTGACAGGTATTGCATCCTGCGAAGTAGACGTTTTCGTTTTTTTAATTCGTCAAGATGAAGGATTGCTTCTGCTTCACGGACTTCCAGCTTTTTCTTGCGAACTTTTTCTTGTAATTCAAGTTTCTCGCAATAACGTTTATATGCATCATGGGCATCATGCATCGAGTGTGACTCGATTTTATGATCAATTAAACTTTTTTTCTATTAGAAGAGAGTTATAAATTAATGAAATAAATATATATGTATATAGATACACATTTTTCAATAGATTATAAACTATCAGTCTATGAACTTACTTTGACAAGGTCTTCAAGTCTATCATCATCAAGTTTCATATTTACAATGGGATCTAAAGGTACACCATCCGGGTGTTTCTCAAGAATGTGTCTAATGCCTTGATATGCAACTTGTCTCTTTGAAGGATCATGTTCTAAATTTTCATCGGGAAAGAGACGGATTTGACTTAGAATCACTAAATCCTTTAGTTCACAAGGGACTACCAATATAATTCCCGTTTGATTTGTCGGACAAGGACTGATTTTGACGACCCTCCCATCATAACTAGCAAATGAATCATCAGAACACTTTAATAGAATTCTAATCCTATATTTTTTATCCTCTTGCGAATTATGCTTCGACCAAGGCGCTCGCTATGTGTGTATATACACATAAGTAATATTATGAAAGTTTAATTATAAAGATCTTTCATTCGTATTGCTTTTATAACAATTCACTGTCTTACCTTTATCTCTTCATAACGAACGATCATACCCCAGTCGTAATCAACGCCGTTATACTTCACTTTAACTAGCCTTCCGAGGTTCATAAATGGAATACTATTCTGCGGTTCAAAGACAATGGCTCGAATTCGGTCAGCGTATTCATCAGATATTTTGCGAAGTTTGTAATATTCGTCGAGCGATTCTTCTTGAGGTATGACAAAATTCTTATGCTCGTCCTCCAATTGTTTAAGTTCTAATTTTCAACGAAATACATTTTGATAAGTTTGGAAACATGTTTGATCGTAGCGATTCTTTACATTTCTAACGACACGTACCTTCTTGAAAACGCGGCAAAGGAGCCGAATTTTGGAATTGATAAAAACTACGTTGTAACATGTACTCGGGGCTAATGCCTTCAATTCTCGACATGTTGAGGATCATATGATATTTTAAATGGAATGCAGATCTCAAATGATCTGCCTCGCCCTAGATTATACAATAGGTTCACGTAAAGGAAAAAAAAAAATTAGGCAAAAAAAAATTAATTTTTGATCGGTAAATTTTATATTAATTAATCATAATATTATCTACCTTGACCATTTCCTTGATAATATAGGGACTAATTTTGGATTCTATGTTCAGCATTACGTAACCACGTTCATCAAGACCCCTACGTCCAGCGCGACCCGACATTTGAATATACTCACCAGATGTCATCTGCCAATAAATAAATAAACAACATTAAACGAAACCGCTTCAGAAATATTTAGTAATAGAAATGTAGAGGATAAGAAATTCTAGCAAACCGTTCTCCTTTTTGTTCCGTCAAATTTCGTTAATTCACAAAAAACTACGGTCCTTGCCGGCATATTTAATCCCATGGCAAATGTTTCTGTGGCAAAAAGAACTTTTAATAGCCCTTCTTGAAATAAAAGTTCCACTACTTCTTTCATAAAAGGCAATAACCCAGAATGATGTACCCCTATACCGCGTTCTAATAAAGGGAGCATGTTATGAAATGACGATAGATGACGATCTTCTTCTGGTAGTAAATCAACTGCATTCTCGAAGACTTTTTTTACCAATTCTTTTTCATCATCTAAATAATTAAGCAAAAAAAAAAAAAAGATTTATTATTTAAAGACGATAAGATCAAATAATTAAAACATAAATCACTAATACTAGCCATTATTAAAATCCATGACGCTCATTTGTCTTGCTAAAATTTCACATTGCATTTTACCAAAAGCGAAAGCAATTACCGGGTTAAACCCTTTTTGCATACACGTTTTAATAATCTTATAAACATTTGGCGTGTCCGTAACTATCACATCAAATATTAAATACATTAATAACTATTAACAGACCAGAACATATATATATAAAAAAAACAATGATAAATACTTTTTCTTTTGTTGGACTTTTCATCGCCATTTAGAACGTCCGGTAAATGCGAAAGAACTTCTTGGAAGTGTTCCTCATTAAATAAACCCTTTTCATCAAGTACCATATAAATGCCACTCCCCCCATCAGGATACATATAATGTTGTAGTGGAGTTGGACGAAAATCGGTATAAACAACGTGACAGGGCTTCGGAAAAACGTAAAGGTGAGAAAGGTTTCAATAAAACTTAAGCGATCCAAGTTATTATTAATATTATTCACCTGTTCATGAAGCTTACATATCCATTCAGCAAACTCCATAGCATTTGGAATTGTGGCAGATAAAAATACAAAGTGGACGTTGTGAGGCAACATTATGATCGTTTCTTCCCAAACAACACCTCGAACTAATTTTTAAAAAAAGTGGTAGTTAAATCAATTACATTATGCATATGCATGGTTGGAACAAATAAACATATATAAAATTACTTTTATCTCTCATGTAATGAATCTCATCGAATATAACCCAGGCCACTTCACGTAATATCTCATTGCCTCTATATAACATACTACGAAGGATCTAATACAAAATTATATCGCGTTAGAGACCCATCGTAAAAATGATGCAATCATATATCAAATGAAATATAAACCGACTTCAGTAGTCATAACGATACAACTTGCATTTGGACTAAGAGTAACATCCCCGGTCATTAAACCAACGTCCTTGAAATCATGTTGTAATTCTCGGTATTTCTGGTTACTTAACGCCTAAAATAAATGAACGAGTAAAAATGAATAAAGACGACACAAGAAACGTAATTGTAATTTGGATAAATATATTACCTTAATCGGACTAGTATAAATGACCCTCTGCTTGTTTTTTAAACTTTGAGCGATGGCATACTCAGCAACGACCGTTTTACCAGCAGAAGTGTGCGCGCTCACCAGTACAGATTCGGATCTTTCTATACAAGATATGGCGTGTTCTTGAAAAGGATCTAATTTAAAGGGATAAGTCCAAGCCGGCTCCTTTGGCGGTACATGTTTGGAAATTGGAACATAAAGATAGTTTGGAGGAACAGCTACTTGGTGGCGCACCTTTTTTCATGAAAACATATTTCGTTAATCACACGCAACTATAAAGCCAAATGTGAGCGATTTGCAACTTACTTTATGACCAAGGAGTAACTTTTCGCCGGGCGTTACCGTTTGTTTGACTAGACCCTTAGAAGGGGCTACTTCTCTTATGGCTTCTTCTTGAAAAATATCCGTAACAACCGGCTCATAATCAAGGTGAATTCTTGTCTTTTTAGACCTTGAACGGTTAGTTGAATCAACATTTTTTCCTTTGTTTTGACTTTTTGAAGTTCCAGTGAAATTCAAACCTCGTTTTCTGAAAGAATTTGAGGTTTGTTCTGAATCGCTCGTCATGTTGTTTAATGGTTCAAATTCTCTCTCAGTATTGATAACTTTTTTTCTACCAGCTTACCAAATTTGGTTGTTTATGTTTGGTGACACAACAGATGGTCGATTTCATTTTTTCCCCGAAATCTGCATTTTGAATTGCAGAGTCAACTATTTGTAAATTTAAACTCGTTATATTTTTCCTCATAATGTCTACACAAAACGTTGCTCCCGTTTATCCTCGACCACCGATGTATTACAAACGATATACGGACGAAAACCTCGCTATCCTTAAACAAGTTAAAGAACACGGGGAAGATGCATTTGTCGCTTCTGGAGGCACGTTACCAAACTTTAACATATTTGAATTAGAACCTCCACCTCCAGTAACGGAAGGACGTTATTTCTCATTTAATGAGCCGTGGACAGTAAGTTATAATTTCATTTTATTTTTGTTTTAATTGCATATTGTCAAATGTAAAAGATATATAAGTTTTATAAAGGTTGTCGACGTTTTACCCTCTTTGGAAGAATCTGAACAAAAGCAATTATATCCGTCAGGCGAGATAGGTAATTCTTTGTCACTTTTTGTTATTAACAAGATGGATAATTTAATCTCTTTTCTTTTTTTTCATAGATCGGGTTGCAGAACTTAAGAAACTAAATAATTCTGCGATTTTCAATTTCCTTGAATTACTGAATTCCTTGGTTAAAGAACCTGAACGAGTAAATAATTAATAAGTACTTCTTTTTTCATGAAGTTGATGATTGAGCTAAGCTTGCATTTCTTTTTATCGCCCTAGTCTTTAGACAAATTGGAACAAATCAAGACGATATTTGTTAACATGAAACATATGCTAAATGAATATCGTCCACATCAGGTAATGATCGTTTAATTCGGTCTCTGTCCTTATTAATAAATTGTTGATTTGAAAACTATGATTTTTAAATAAGTCAAGAGAGACCTTGAGATTGATGATGAGAAATCAGTTGGAGAATAGAAGGCGAGCTACTGAAGAAATTCAAAAGTATATATTATTACAATCGGTTTGATCAAAGCGTTACGTACATTAACAGTCAACTTTATTTTATTTTAGTCGATGTAGTGAATTTTCTAAAAAGTTGGAGGCCGTGAAAACATCTTGGAAAGCTCTGGATGAGCTTAAAATGGATCTGGCACGTTGCAGTTCCCTGAAAGTAAAGCCAAGGATTTTGTATTATTTAGATTTTGACTGACATTATCTTTTCTAATTTAGGATGACTTGGACTTTGAAATTAAGACACAAAATACACAAAGTGAAGAAATAACGGATCCCAATACGTATAATATCAGTCAAGAGACAACACAAAAAATGTTGGAAATGATTGATGGATGAATGGATCAAGGTAAGTTTATTTAACGACTTTCTTTTTGAATTGCTTTTAACCAAAAGATTACCATGGTAATATCTTGTGACTTTTGGAGCTAAAAGCAAATTTGAATAGAAATTAAGAAAAAAAAGGAGTAGGTAACAACAAAGAACATATAAATAATACTAGTAATTTTAGAACTTTTTTTTTTTCTAAATATAATGAGATTTAAATTACAGTAATTTATAGTATATAATTTAAGTTATTTGCGTCCCTAATAAAACCCGTAATAAAGAGTCTTTTTTAAATTCGGCGTTTCAACTTCTCAGTGTCGCGTTATGTCGGATCACGTGAAAACATTACACGTGAATTATTGATTACACAACATTTAAAACCTTGTTTCCTACGGTCAAAATTTTTTTCTAATTTCTTTCTTTTTACACAATTCGACTTTTTTTTTTAAAAAAAAAATAAAAAGATTATTTACACAATATGACCCAAACACAATCAAGTCGAACCGACTATGAAGTAATTGATATAGATCCGCATTTTAATCGAGTAGTTAAATACTTTAGACCTTCCGATTATGCATTGTGGGCAGGCGCTACCGCCACCGGTCCTGCTTTCATGTTGATGATGGGTAAATTACTCTTGTTTCTCGATTGGTTCGACAAATTAATCGAGAAATTTTTTTTAATTGAATACGTTGTCAATAATATCAATAATATAGAGAGAACCGGTGGACCCTCCAAAGGATTACCATTAGCATTAAAATTATCAACAGTGCTTGGAGCATCGGCGGGATTTTTACTTGCTTATCAAAGAAGCAGCTGTATGTGTTTTTTTTTCTTTATTAATTAATTCATTACGCCTCAAAAAATTAAACTTTGTCCCCTTTTCTTTTGTCAAAGTGAGATTTTGGGGATGGATAGAGAATTACAAAGAGGTAGAAAAGGATAGACAAGAGATGACAAAGTTGGTGGAACAAGGAAAACCGCTTTATGGACCCGAAAATATGTCCGAATTTAATCAAAAGGCTGCATCATGGCTTACAAGGTATTCTGCCTTGAAATTTTGTAAGTAAGAGTGGATGAATTCTTTTTTTATCATTAATAATTATAAAAAAAAAAAAAAAAAAAAAAACTAATTTTATATACGATTAATCTTTAGCCTCCATTCCTATGTTCAATTTCGTTAACCATCGCTCTCACGGAGTTGACCCAAAGAAATATGAAGAGAAATGATTATTATTATAATGATTATTATTACTATTATTATTATTATTAATTTTTATGATTATATCAGTTTTTATTTTTATTTTTTTTTTCTCTCTTTTTTTTTTAAAAAAAAAATAATATTTATAACATTTCTTGATTTTAAAAAAAATTAAGAATAATAAAATAAACACGACCAAGAAGAGTATTCGAAATTTTCAAATATGTATAATTCAAAAGGAAGTTCCTTTTCTCCTAAATTATCCCATCGGTCCACCAATAGTCAGCGTTAGGTAACTCACCATTTGACCTGAATTTATTCAAATTTTCCTCATCAAGAACCCTTGCACCTTGTAAAGTAAACAATTCCATGTGTTTTAAGTTTTGATTATTGATCACCAAAAATCTTAAATCATCCATAGGTAAAGGATTTAATTCGTACATGATCTTTAAGGTCAATTCTTCTAAAGTTTTAATATATTTTGAGAACAAAGAGATGATTAAAGTTGGTGATACGCTATATAATTTCATCGTGACTTTACGTATCGGCGCATTGAGCTTTACGAGAGGATGAGGAAAGGGATAGGAGGAGGAATGAGGGGAGGAGGGAGAGGAGGAGGAGGAGGAAGAAAAAGAAGAAGAGGTGGTCGGAGGGGTAGAAACTTGTAACGAATTGTCATGATGATCAGTAAAGGAGGGGGAATTAATTTCATTTAAACATTCAAAAGGTTCAAGGTTAGAAGATTCTTTATGATACTCAAAGTAAATCTCTCGAAGCTTAATACCATGAATGAGTAAATGAAGTAAAGTTTGCTTTGGTATGCGAAAAGCGGGGGAAAAAGTGCAAGATAAATCGATCTTTTGTACGAAATTTGCGTAATTAACGAAATTATACTCGGATGAGGATAATGTGTTTGAGATTAAATGCCAACGTAAGGGGGTTTTCGCTGTACTTCCCCAATAACATTCACCTAAATTCTTCCAAACCAATGGAATCGTTAAAGAAAAGAATTTATGATTTTGATACCGACAATTTAATAATGATGGATAATCCAAGTATGAAATCATTTGCTCAAGTAATTCGGTTGGAAGCTTTGCTATGCTTGTCATACTTGTAAAGGAACGAGGGAGGTAAGATTAAGAGGAGGGGGAGTTAGGAAAAAAGAAAATAAATAACAAAGGATATATTTTGTTTGATATTGCTATGCTTAGAATTGTACCAAATAGACAAATGAATAATGGATAAACTTTTATTAAAGAAAGAAATCGTTACAAGCAAAAATAATGAAAGGAGATTTTAATATTATGACGAATGACATGAATTTATGCAAATGCATATGTATATGTGTGCTACAAAAATAATTCATTACGTCAATCATAATATATTACATAATCCGAAGAGTTATCGACTCCTATAATCATAAAGAATTTCTAAATATAAACATTTCCTTTCTCCGTTCAGTAAAATTCTCTCGTTTGGTGCACGGTTTTCGTTCATTATCATAAATATTGATTTTTTGTATGGGGGATAGCATTTAACTTTTTAGATTCTGTAACCCATATTTTATATTGTTGAAATTTTCAGGTACATAAAATATGCAATCCTTCATTTGAGCCAAAAAAGTTTGAATAAAGACTTTTTTTTAAGATCATTTGAAATAAACGTGCTATTAAACCATAAAGTTTTAAATTTCGTAAAAATCAAACGCAATAATCGTACGCGTTACATGATCGTACAATCATATGACCAAAATAATTTGATGTTTAAATTTTGTGTACATATAAATTCACATGCGAAAATACAAAAGTTTTCCCCTTCAAGAATTTAATTAAAAATCAAACCCTCATCGCAAAACCATCTTGGAAGAATAATACATTTAATAGATGAAACAAAAAAAAAAAAAAAAGAAAATTAAACGTTTGAAAATTTTCTTTCGATCTGATCAAATTTGATTTTCACAAGCCTAATTTATCACCTTCGCACGTTCCATATTAAGCTTACAAACAATATATCCTGAATAATGTAGGACAATGCATATATGGACCTTTTTTATATATATTTTTGGAACGTATTGTTCATAAAGGATAATTTCCTCAAATGTTTCATGAAAAAAAAAAATCAAAATGAAAATCTGATTGGACTGAATTGTCAACATCATATACGTTGGTGTCACAGCAATCATGAGATCGTCGTTAATCCTCATAAAGAGTACGAATATTTTTAGCTTCAATGCAACCTTGGCCGTTTTATCGAGTGCATAAAGGAAAAGAAACAACGTTTTAAGATTTATATAACAACGAAAAAAAATATATATATATATATTTAGTCGGATGGAAGCATTGACCAATGAACGATCAAATGATGGTGGCCGTAGTGGATAATTTCCAATAATGGGTTTCAAAACAATGGAACTTTTTCCTGTAACTATAATTAATATACAAGATAAAAAAAAATCATAATGATAATAAGATGGTATTATAGATTAATTAATATAAATTAATACAAAAATATAAAGAGAAGGGCTTTGTCATTTTCAAAATAACCCTTTTTTTTATTTTTTTATTTTTCTTCAAAATAAAAAAAAAGTCATCTTTTTATTGGGCGAGTGAATGGAGTAATATTCTCTGCTTCATTAATAAAAAAAGCGTTTTTTTGATCAAAAACGTCTTTTTTCATTTTTAAAGCATCAAAATTCGTCTTCTGACTTTTGAAAAGTCTTTTTTAAATAAAAATTAATTATAGACTAAGGGCTGGTTATTTTCCCTTCAAAGAATTTACTTCAACTTTGAAAATTTATTTCATTTAATTTTCTTTTTCTCGTCATATTTTTGAGTCCTCCTCTTTCATTTAATATCATCCTGTAAATTAATAATAATACTAAACATAATTCATTATGGCATCATCTAATAATAATAATTCATTGCCGATTCCCAACACTTCTGCCATGTTGATGGAAGAATTTCGTGGATTAGAAATATATGCTAGTTGCGCCATAGCAATATATTTTTACGAATTAATTGCATCTAGCTTAAAACTTGTCAAATGGTATAAAGCTAAATTGTGGACAATCCCCGAAGTGGTTTGTTTTTTTCTAGAAGTGTGAGTAATTCGGAGGGTGGCGCAGCAACCCCTTTTTCATTTTATTTATTTCTTTTTTTTTGAAAATAAATCTCATTCGAAAATTTTCTTTTTATCTTAGGATATCGACAGTGATATATTGCATATTAACATTAATCTTTTTACATTATACATTGCATACCACATTATCATGTACAATATTATTTCTTTTACAACAAAGTTTTTTTACTATAAGTACAAGCTTTCATTGTTTTATATTGTTAATACGATTAAAACAATATTACCCGAATAAGACGTTTTTAATCATATCATTATTTTTGTCCGCCGTGATAATATTGATCATTTTTTTAATTAACATCGTGGAATTTGATGGGGTTGGTGTTAATAATCAAGATGGGAATTGTTATCTTTCGAATGCGACCGTAGGAGCACAATCGCTCTCGATCGGATTTGTCACGTTAATGATTTATTGTTGGGTGATTTGGTCTTCTGTAGTTTACGCCATGTATTCTATTTGTAATTCACCAAATTTTGGTAGAAGTAAATATTGGCATAGAATCTTGTTCGACAATGTAAGTTATCCCATGAATCTTTTTTTATTTATTTAAATTTTTTTTTTTTTTGGAGAAAATGAAATCGCAAACTAACGCATCAACTTTTTAATTATTATGAAAAATAGGGTTTAATTTATCTAACATTAATAGCATTGTCACAAGCAATTAATGTAATAATGATGTTGGATGGTAAAAATTACTTGGGAAAAATCGTAAATGTAACCCCATTATTAGTAATAACTTCGATTTGTTTACGAAAATCATTAGTTAATACAAAGTCAATGAATGATAGAGATAGGACTCACTTACCCTTCTTTCATCCCTCCACCAAAGATAAGAATATTAATGATAGATCTATCAAAAACATTGATGTTCAATATCCTACACCACAAGAGCCATTTACCACATATCAACCTTATCCGCAAGAGCAAGTTAGAATGCCTTCACCAACGTTTTCATCATTTACTTCATCAACAAAAGTGGATTCCGTCCCTCCTTCATTACCTCCAATAATAATACACAAAAGTGCCACATCTAATTCAAATGTTGAGTATAATTCAAGACCTACATCTCCTGATGTACAAAGAATAACACAAGATTTTGGTAGTTCATTAATGTTCTATTTAAATGCTATTACTCGTGATTCGAATCCAAATGGAATAAAATTACAAAAAAATAAGGATAGAAGAAGTAAGATCAGTAGATTAAGTAATTTAAGTATAAATAGTTCTCATCTCAGTTTAATCAACAAAGGAAGGATTAGTCAACAAAGATTTAGCCAAGATACAAGGAAAAGTCAACAAATTCCTATTTTAGTTGATCCTAGCGAACTTTTTTATTTTACTTACAGTAATGAAGAAGATGATGAAGTCTATTTATTCCCTGCCATTCCCGCCCCACTTGAATTGCAACAACAACAACAACAGCAACAGCAAGAAGGAGGAGGAGAAGAAGAAGAAGAAGAAGGAATGCCTTCCTTTTCTAACTATAATATAAGGAAAAGTAATGAATCATTAACTTTTCCTATTCATCATCCTTCTTTTGGATTTTCTGCTACAATCGTTACGAATGATGATGATGACGATGATGATAATGGTGTTGATGAAAATATATTCGATCATAAAAAGGTCGTTTAGGGCCAGTGATGCTCAAGGCATATTATTAAAAACATATCATGAAGGTCACGAATCATCATCATATCAAGGTTATTACGTCTATAAAAAAAATAATTAATAAAATAACGTAATGTATTTGTAATTTGAAAGGGAAAAAAAAAATAATGTATTATAGTTTGTAATGGTTTAGGAAAAAAGAGGTTGGTTTTTCTTTTTTGTAATATTAAAAAGTAAATTAAATAAATTAATTTTTTTTAGAAAAAATTGTACTTGTAACACGATCGAATTTTTAAACGTAAATCTTTGCCCAATGTTGTCACATGGTTTAATAATGAACCAATTGAGCTCGTGGCTTTTTTTTTTTTGTGTTCTTATCGTTTATTCTTTTTCTTCCATTTTGGAAAAACTATAGAAAAATACCTATTTATGGAAGATTTCAATTAAAAAATTTTTTCTTATAGATGAATAAACGTGGTTAGCATTCTTCGGAAATTATTTTAAATCCTTTTCCGTTTAAGTCATTCTACTAGAAAAAAAAAACTGTTTCTTTTTTTGACATTTTTTTATTTTAATGATCGTTAAAATTATCAAAGACTGACGTAAATGAAAACGCATTTTACAGTCATTTAAATGCAAATAAAATGAATATAATGAAATTTATTTTCAATTAAATTTATACAGTAAATGAAAACGAAAAAAAAAAGATATGATGATATCTATATGTAAAAAAAAACTGTGCTTCAAAGAATAGTAAAATGGGTTTTCACAAAAGTAATTTAATATTCATATAAGCCCAGTTTCTAATATAACTAAGGAAGAGAAATAAAAAAAGATAAACGCAAAAATATTTTACAAATTTTTTTTTTTTTAAAAAAAAAAATAACCTGCTCTGCACATTATTTCTATATATATTTATATATAAAAAAAAAAAAAAAAGTCTTTAGATGAAATCGCTCCTTGCCCTTCTCCCATTTGGTCTCTTGTTGCTAGCCATGAAATAATCATCCTTACTAACAAAATTATTTACAAATCCATTAAAACCATCCGTTTTTTCCCATAAAGTAGTCATTTTAGGAGAAATCTTTGACGTTGGCAATTTGTTTTGTTTACTTTTATGAAGTTTCTTTCCATTATGATTCTGATGTAGTTTTATATTAGAAATGTCCTTTGTATCCTTTTTGTTGTTCTTCTTATCGTTGTGAGGAATTTCTCGGGTAAACTTCCTTACGCCCCATTCTATAGTGTCTAATAGGAAACCACCTGAAAATTCTATTACCAAGAATCCTAAGCGGATCGCTACAACGAAAAGAGCCAAAAAAGAGGTAATTGCCGCAAATGCAGTAAAGGTTCCCAATACGCTGAGAATAAGTGGTGCACAGAACACTAATGCTGGGATGAAGATATAAGGTGATGGCATTTGTGTATTTGATTTAAGACAAGAGAGGAATAATTTTATTTGTTTGCTTGGTAAAGGTGGTATTTCAATAAAAATAAATTTGTGATGTCAAATATATTTATTGATATTGGAAAGGAGAATGGGATGAAATATTGAAAAAAAAAAAAACGTACGATATTTATTTGAATCAAAAAAAAAAAAAAAAAAATCTTGGGGAAGTGGGGTTAGCGTAGCACCAAAGAAAATGTTTGGTTTATTTATAAAAAAAAAAAAAAAAAAATTAATTTTTTGACGTGATTATTAATAAGGAAAAACTTGTAAAGAAACAGGTAGATTCGTAGAACCTCTAGTGCTTATATGTCATATGGCTTGATATGAATGTAGTGAAATGTTTAACACGGGGTTGTTTTGATAATTTGAATAATTTGTCATGTACCTCAGATGGCATGTGATGCGTTATTTAACATCGTGACATCATGTATTAACTGTAAAAAGAGAAAACCATAAATTAGATGATGATGAAGAAAAAGATCCCATTCTCTTATCTTTGATTCTTTAATCCATTACAAGTAAGAGATTCAAACTTATCTTATCTCAATCAATTCCCAATTAATGTAAGATTTAAAGTAATGTATATGTATATAATATAATTTATATTCAGATTAAGTTATTCCTATATATAGAAGTCGCTTATAAATTTTTTTTTGGTACGAATAAAACAGATGGTAAAATACTAATTTGACCATGTTTGGGGTTTTGTCAAAAAAAACAAAGAAAAAAAAAAAAACGACGTACAAATCTTGCCTCACCTCCCATTTCGATAAGAACTTTTTTTTTTGTACACTATAAAGAAAGCATATCAGAAAATTAAAGAAAGCTCTAGAAAATGTACACGTGACAATGCTGCGCATACTCGTACATTGAAAAATGAGAGGATTTGAATGGATACTTTCTGCAGATATAAAAATAAAGTGGTTACACTTACGTGTATGCCCGCTTTGAATATGACACAACATGCCGATTTTTTATGTTACTTTCGTTATGTCAAGTAAACGTGTATTGCATACTAGTCTAATTATAGGACGCGTACATAACATTTTATGCCCTCGGAAAAAACTGCGCAACACGTAATAATTTAGCCTAATTTCTTGGAAAGAAAATTTTCATGTTCGTGTATTAATTTAATACTAATGATGTATTTATTTTTTTTCTGTCTGATGATAGAGTAGTGATGATGTTAGCAGGTAGTATATAAGGTATATAATATAGTAAGTACTCATGTGTGCGCGAAAATTGTAATAATATTATTAAATATGCGGATTCCACAAAATCACACATTGATTGATTCCATGTACGCATATCATGTATTAAAATTAAAATGTTAATATGCAATAAATACTACATTAGATTCTTGTTGTTATGTGATTATTAATGTTAAACAAACTTTATTAATATTTAAAAGACTTTCATTCAGATTATAGAACTTTTAACATGCAGTATTTGCTTAATCAATACTAATCTATATTTTAAATACATCACATAAAAAATTTTGTTTCAAAATAAAATAATTGATAATTTTTAAAATATAAAAATAATTGGATACTTTATTAAATATTTATTTTATCTGTAAAATTTGAAAATTTCAATGTTAGCTACTATTACTAAAAAGAAAGAATAAAGATACTGTAGTTATTTATTATTACATATTAAATATTAGGATCTAACCTTATTAATATAATATATAAATAAAACTTTAATAATTAATTAATCATAATTATTTATTTTTATAAATTGCAATCTTATAAATTAAAAATTTAATATCTATAATAATTCCAATAGACTTAATAAATAAAAATAAAAATTTTTGCATAAATTTTATATATTTAATAAATAATTTAAAATTTAAAAATATTTTAATTTATTTATAATGTTTAATTTTTTATTTATTAATAATAATAATGTTATTTTTAAATAATAGGATTTTATTTAAATTTAATTGAAATCTTTAATCAAATTATATATAATAATTTATCATATTTTAATATTAGTTAAAAATATATTTACTAATATTATTTAATTATAAACTAATTTATTTTCTATTTGATATTAATTTTGATTAGCCAAAAAATTATATATAAAATATTAAAATATTTTATTATATAAAATAAATTTTGATTTATTTAAATAATTTTAAATATAAATATATTAAAATAAAATAAACTTATATTTTGATCTATAAATTTTTTACTAAAAAAAAAAAAAACCTTTAATAAAATTATTATAAGTAAATATAATATTATAATATTAAAAGAAAATTTCTAAGTTTATATAAGATATATATACAATTTCTGTCAAAAGTAATAGTAATAGGAATATTAAATAATATTTTAGTTACAGTTTCTTTGGTAATTTGATTTGACGCATTATTAATTAGGTCGATTTAGGCAATATGATGTTGTTTTTAATAAAATAAATAAAAAAACCTGATCTTAAATGTTATTTGTTTATTTTAAACTTAACCTAAATTACCACTATAGCAAATACCATCAACATCTATTAAAGTAAATTATGAAGTCGTAAAATATCTTTGGGATAAAAATATCTATAATGCAAAGGAAATTTCTAACTGAACTGGAATTCCTTTATATTCTTGTGAAAGATATATTGCTATTTTACGAAAAAATGGCAAAATTTCAGAAATTCATCGATCTGGCCACCCACAAAATTAATCTCTATAAAATATTGACACATTGAAATGATCATTAAGTATAATCATTTCACTACAGTTAGGAAACTGAAGGTTATATTAGAAGAAAATGATTCAGAATTAGAAATCAGTGAAACAACTATCTGTTGAAAACTTTCTAGGCTCAGTTATGTAGCAGTTCTTCTATGAAAAGTTCCTCTTTTGATCCAAAAAGTAAAAGACA